TTTCTCAGAACAGATTTGATTTTATGAAGTTAATTTAACTTTGCCGACCATGTAAGGTCATCATTAAAAGGTACAATCAATTTGTTTAGGGTTGACTAAAATAATGAAAAACATTCATTTGGATAATTTACTGACAGAATAAGAAACTCAATGATGCTCTACTCACCTGTTCCCTTTTTATAAAGTGAAACAGTTTAAACGATAGATTTTAGTAAACTTAAAAACAACCTTCTCCAAAAGCTATCAAGGAATATACCGAATACTTGTTTTAGAACTTTATTACATATTTTTATATAAATAGTTTGAATGATCCATAATTGACAGAAGCTTGTGTTTACACTGACCTGTTACTCATATATGAATGTCTTTGTAACTTCAGTAAACCACTACCTCACTCATTTCACTTTCATTCATCACGGTTCAGTAAACTAAGTGATACATGAACCAGTTTAATCATTATAATAACGTAGGATTGCAACTCTTTGAAAATGTAGGTGGCTCTTAAAAGAGCCGTTGTGTTTGGGTGTGCTGGTCTCAGGTCAGTCTAAGCCCTCTCCGCGGATGCGGCGGGCCAGCTGGATGTCCTTGGGCATGATGGTGACCCTCTTTGCTTGGTTCATCTTACTGGGGGGCAGCTACATGGATGTCGGTGCAGTCCACAATCATTGCGCAGTTGAAGGCAGAATGAATTTATTATTGACTCCGAATGAAGCACAACTTCATGTCATACAATACAATGACTTTATTTGTAATTGTGTAAAAAAATATGAGCATTGATTAGCAAGCAGGACCTGCAGGAACAGAGAATGGTGATGGATGGAGCTGGGAAGAGAGAAGAATAAAGAAAACAGATCAACTTTATTATCGGATATTAAAAATTCAATTTCAAAACAAGTTGCCGCTCCTACAGTTTTCTATGTAAAGATGATTTCACATGACCTATGCAACATATCACACTCAATACATGTGTGTCTCTGGGGGGTGCATTGTGCCTTTGATGTATATAAATAATATACCATAACCAAATACTATTACGTACAGTGGAAATCAGGTTGCCAGAGCAGGTCAGTGTGCATGTTCCTCAACGTCTCAGCAGTTACAGGTGAGGTAAAGAAAATAAAAGAGAAAAAGGTCAGAAACAACACTTTAAAGTAACAACACTTTGAATAATGATCTCTTCTAACAATTTTCTCTCAATAAGCACACAACGACTGTCTTTCCAACAAACAGATTGTCATCACAATGAAACACGTCCAGAAGAATGTCATGCAAAGCTCCATGCCTGCCTTCGACTCTCCCTGAACTGCTTCCTTAGCACCCGGTGGAGGGCGCAGTAGGCTACTCTTCAAAAGTTTCACGAAATACTTACCATCATGTTTGGTTACTGTTTAACATTTTGGTTTACTTCATGTAATAAAATAATAACTTCATGGTAAGGCTACTAAAAATGACAAGGCTAAGTAATGTAATGCTAACGTGCTCGCTACTCGTCGCTACTAGCTAGGTAGCTAACTTGACTATGTTCCATGCACAACATGTATATTACCTATGATATTACCTGATATGTCTGATCCAGCGACTCCTGGTCCTTTCATCAGACGGGAATCGATAGAAGGAGCAAGTGGTATGATCACTTTTATGACTACAACCTGGTACAAAGCACACAGGCATCTTGTAAAAGTGAATTTATTTTTAGCGATCTATCATTTATTGGAGGGAATAAATCAGTTATGAGATCTTCTTCTTCTTCGCTTTAATTACGAGTCTTATTATAAATCACCGAGCATGCCTGTGACATCACTTACGCGACCCAGAATGGGATTTGGGATTTGGGATTTGTAGTCTTTGTAGTCGCGTATTTTTCATAGTATTATATTTCAGCAGTTTTACGACAAAATGTGACTTTTTTGACATGGAAATGATTGTTTAAGATTGACACACATCATATGTGTAGTTCGTGGCACAATTCAAACGGGATCAAAAGATACGTGTTCTCTCTCCATTGAATTCAATGTAAATTTTTCGCTTCCGGGGTCCCATGGTCCGGAAGTAGATGGGCGTGACTTCGCCTCTCCATTGTCTCTTGATAAATCAGCAAGTCCTCTCACTGGCGCGAAGATCAAAGCAGTCCGTGGGTCTGGCTCGCCATCTTGTATCAGAGCGCGTGTGTGTGTGTGTGTTGTCCTCTCACTCGCGATCAACTTTCTTATCCAGTCCAAAAAACCTGACCTGTACGACAGGTCATGAAAGAATATAAATATAATATAAACTAACAATATAAATTATATGATTACATTTTAAAAACTACTGTAAACTTAGCTCTTTTGACAAGTGCTTATAATGGGGCTCAAAATGGCAGCTTTACTCTCCTCTACACGTGTCATTTATCCTGTTCACACAAAATAACACATATTTCCCCTTGTAAAACACACATTAAAGCCACGTAGTTTCAGCCAAACAAAATAACAAATACATAACATTGCAAGCCATGTTCATAGCTTCCCTTACAGTTCAACAACATGAAATGCTAACAATGAAGCTAACATTAAATCACTTACAAAACTTTTCTATGAAAAGGTTTGACTCACCAAAACACCGTTGGTTAATGTTATATACCGTCTACTGGGTTTCCCGGCCGTGTGGATGGTATTTTTTATCTTTTTTAAATCAACTTTGAATCACTTTTAATATAATTTACTCCGCTCGTCTCATCTGCGTCTCGCTCCGACGCTGCGCCTGCGGGTGCCTGGTGGTGAGCAGAGATCCCTTAAACTACCTTGTAATTTGTCATACTAATTTTATTTATTATATTTTTAAAGGGATGCTATCATTGACCAATTTTAAACGTGTATCCTTTAATTCAATCACTTTAGAATGACTTTATGCTTACTATGTTTTAATTTGGGTTACACTTGTCACAGTTGGAAAAACATTATGTAACAATAGGGATCTAGAAGATCACACCACAATCAGATTAATGGATACACAATAAAAGGAATAGAGAGACGGTTACACAGTTTACAGGCGCTACAACATGATATCAAATGTGTGAAGTTAACCACAAAAGAGATACTGTTTAGCATGTTGAACTGAAGGAATGCTATTTTTTTCCACATTCATCCAGGAAGGTCAGAGGTCACATTCCATCAGAGGATCTGCCAAGACCATTAGGATCTGCCCAGACCCAGGATTTCTCAAAGTCAAAGTTTTTTGGAAAGTTATTTTGTGTTATAGACGCATGAAACCAAGTCTGTGGTTAATATAATAAGTTTTGTTCTACAAAATAAAATATGTCAGTAAATGCTCCACTGCTGAATATCTAAAACGTCGATGTTTCTTAAAAATAGCGGTTGCTAACAAGTGTCTAAAGAAACTAATACATGTCATCATGCTGAATATTAGCCGTCTTTAACTTAGTGGTGGTGATGCAGGGCCATGCAACTGTGGTGATTTATAGCCTCACGATAGCATTTAACCTATGGTGATTGCATTTTCCCTTCAAAAATCACAAAGTGGTGTTGATATGTGGAGAAGATCCTGTTGAACAAAGCGTGTAATTATCAATAACGTGTGTTTGCCACTGATCTTATTTTTGTAGTATTCCGAAATCGTCGGCCTATAATGCATCACTGCAGACTATATACTCAGACAGTGATCATCTAAACAAAGTCAGATGCCTTATGAAGAAGACACTTGAGAAGAAGTTGAATTATCCAAACAAAAATCAAATCAATTGAATGCATCAACACATACAGTATATTGTGTGCTTTTATAGCCACAGTATACACTTCACAGCCCTGATAAAAAAAGAGAGGAGACTGAAGAATTAGGACAGGCATGAAAAAGACATCTTTAAGTCTGTAATAAAGGTTTAAGATAATATTTTGTCAAAGAGAAATGAACTGAAATGTACTGCATGACACCAGCAACATGCCACATCTTTTGTGGCAAAGCTTTTTCTGTTTTGAGTTATTCGTGAAGTTGATTCCCAGTGATAACCTGCTGTGTTTATAGTTTATGACAAATCATAAACAGAGCTAGTTATTAAAACCAAGAGTTGATGGAAAACCAGGTTCTCATATTTATTCTTATCCGTCTGACAGATCTGAGCTATCAAAGGGATTTTTATTCACTTCGTAATAGCAAACAGATGTTAAAAACCTTAGCAATGGTTAGCAATTGGGCTTGTTATGCATCATTGTGTTGTCGGTGGTGCTCAGTATGGACAGGAGGAACAACCAATCATTATGTCAATATACATAAGGGCATGTCCGTATTATTTTAAGGCTTACAAAAGTGTGAACCTGTTTACCTTAAACCAATGTATGTTCCTATTTTGGAAGCCAAAAGTACCAATTCACATATCTATACATATTTCATACAACTAAGTGGTTTTGATTGTCAACTTATTTATTTGTAATAATGTATTAAATTTGTATTTATTTTGAATCATTATTTGTACTTATTCCTGTATTATTATTTTGTTTTTAAATGGATTTCTGTATTTGTTATGCATTTATTTTTACCTTTATTTTTCGTCTTCCATATGTGGGCTTTGCATTCGTCTCCAGCAGGGGGCGGAAGAGCCCATGTACATTTTAGTCACGTGTCATTAAAGTCCCTGTGATGTTGCAACAGGTTGGTGGAGGCCCATGGTGGAGGCAGATTGTCTGGCTGCAGTAAAAAGAAGAAGAAGAACAACAAGAGGTTTGCTCATCGTCAGCATCCCATGTTTAGCTGGGAGAGCAGGAGCAAGGTGTTTCCCAGGTCCTGCAGCCAATAAGAACTCTCCTTTCAAACTAACAGGCTGTTTAGTTCAGCAGGCTACCAATGATACTTCAGTCTGTATTTGTGAGAGAACATACTAACTGGTACATGAAACAGAATCCCAATTGTTCTCTTCAAATGTACTATTAATCTGATATCGTCTTTTTTATGTAAAGTTTTTTGGTATCCTGCAACAGAACATGAATGAATCAGAATCCTGTTACAGTACATACCCATTACTCCCGAGTCTGCCCATATGACTTGTTTTGCAGGTTTTATTCCTAAAAGCATGGTTCTTTCGACACTGTTAATCCAATTTAGCTTCGTCTAAAAAATCCCTTCATCTTTGAGTCTTGCTGTGTGGAGCCTCAGGTCTGCAGGATTCCTTGGTGGGGCCTAAACCTGCTGAGCTGATGCCCATCCCCCTCCAAACCCAAACACTCACTCCTTCCAGCCCCCAAAACGTTGTGTTTTGGAGTAGAACACCCCTCTTTCTTGTGCAGGACCCCCTGGGTGACCCTCTCCCCTCCCTCCCTGCCCTTCTCTCTTGCTCTCTTCTTCTATCTGGGAGCAGTGAGAGCACCATTGCTCAAGCTCCTATTGAAAAGAGAGCACATACAATGGGGTCTTTCTCAGTCCCTCTGTGTCTCTATTAAAGACCCTGGGAACACAACACTGTCCACAGAGCCACTCTTAAAGGGCCAGTGGGACCCAGGTCTTCGCAACCTGAGTCCCATGCAGCACCTCCCATCATCTTTTTGTTTTCATGGGAAAAGGGGAAAGAACCAGGAATCCACGCAGAAAATCAATTATTCATGAAGGCTATGTGAACTCTGCAGGAACTCCACACCAGCACCACCTTTGTCCAAATACACACTATCACCTCCTCAGACATCACACAGCACAACAAGCCCCCGTCCCTGTCTGATGGGACGGCAGAGTTTATTTAGACTACGGCTGAAGGATGCTTCAGTCTGTTATGGCTGAAACTGAACGCTCACACAAATTCCCCGACATTGTGATGACATCATAATTGCAATAAACACAAATAGAATTTCCTATTGTGATGCATGTTTGTCTAACTGCTTTCATTGGAAACAAGACATTCATTTGGCTGTTTGACTATAGACATGTTTAGTTTATACTGTTAAGGGTTATGGAGGGCAGAAGTTTTTGGTAAACTATAGAAGCCGGTGTATTTAATGTTAGGGTTAGGGTTAGGAGACATTCATTGGAAGGCAGCAGCTTTTGGAAAGTTATGAAATCGGTTGATTACATTTTCATTTGTTATTATACATACAAATCAATCAACTGACCCTAACTGTGATTTTAAATGTGTCAAACCAATACCAAAGCAGTGCATTTAGTTTAGGGTGTGTTTTGACACACCACACTTGTGTAAGAACTTGGAAGATGTCATCCAACATTATATTTAAGTACCTGAAACAATAAGTGGATTGACACAATTTGGCTCGCTGTTTATGTCTCTTTTGTTAAGAAAGACATCACAGGTGAAGCTCCTCAAAAGTGAAGGTTTGCTGCTTTTGTTTTGAAATGTTTTAATACTTTTACTTATTCTCAATGCAGTACTTTTGTTTGTAATTCAGTATGTTTCAGTGGTGCACAGTAACTAAGTACATTTACTCAAGTACTGTACTTAAGTACACATTTTAGGTACTTTACTTGAAAATTTATTTTTGGTTATACTCTACAACTCAAAGGGACATATTGTACTTTTTACTTCACTATATATTTATGTTACAGCTTTAGTTAGTGTTACTTTTTATATTCATTTATATCGTTTTTTATAGACATTTTATCAAAATGTTTGAACATAGATTAAATCATCCAACATTGTATTTGTATTTGTATAATATAATGTAATGTATTTAAGTAAACCACAAACACAAGATTTGACAAACAATATATTGTCAGCAATTGTACTGAAATGTTTAATGAATTATTTGTGTTAAAGTATTTCACAGTCAGCTTTGAAATGCGAAAATATTCTGCTTTTCATTTTAAATATATATTTGTTCTGCAATCACTACTTTTACTCCCAATACTTACAGTACATTTTCCTGACCGTGTTTAAATACTTTTGGCTTGGTACCATTCTTAAAGCAGTACTGACAAATATAAGAGGAGGCAAAATAAAGCATGCAGGTATCGCAATTAGTCATCTTTATTGCTGATATATCTTTATTGTTTTTATTTGTATTTAATTTATTTAAAATTTATTTTTGTATTGTATTTCTAATTAATGTGCAATGTCTTATCTACATGCTGCTGTGACAAAACATGTTCATGATCAATAAAGTATATATTTTCTTATCTCAGAAGATATCCAGAGAGAACACTGCAAATACTGACAATGATTCATTTATTTTAAAAAAGTCCATGCAGGTAAATCTTCCATACAATGATGCCAGCTTTGTAACTCCCTGTGTCTCACAGCTTCACAAGTAAACAGAGGCATTAATACTCATCTATTATGATGTTGATCTGTGCCACAGACTGACACTACTTTGTTTCCAGCGGGAGAAGGGCTGATTTACGGAGCTATTTACAACCTCTTGGGGACCCGTGCGTAATTAAAAAGCGAATGGGGGATTGTGCGAGACAATCAGCATGCCGCAGGGTTTCTCACATCCTCTGAGAAAAGGAGGGAGACTCAGGAGGAGGAGGGAGGAGGAGGAGGGTGGAAAGAACTTGAGTTGAGGAATTTGAATCCTGTCTGAAGGGGGAGAGAGGGAACAGAAAGAGCCAGGGGAATGTCTGAGGGAGTCTGAGGGAGCCGGTGGGGCAGAAGAGACTTTGGACGACACACTACAGGAAGGTTTAGAAAGTCATCCGTGTTGCTGGAAATATAATTGGAAGTTAATCGGCTGCGTAAAACTTTGGTTTGGTTGTGCGCTTTCAAAGTGTGGTGCGCTTTTTTCGCCGTACGCTTTTAAAGTTTGGTGGACTGTATTGGGATCAACCAAAACATCAGCTTAAGAGGAAAACAAACTTTTCAGCAGCTCGGAGATTTTGTTGTTGTTACACTCCTTCAAACGGGAACTGAAATCTACGGGTTGACTTTGGTGTGTTTGCTGGATAATATATATCACTTTTTTCAGCGCACATCTCTGGATCTGTGCGCTACGGAGATGCGGTGATGGAGTCCGTTGGTGTTTCCAAGATGACTGCTCTTCTCATGCTTTTCAGAGGTGATCTCCTGTCAGGAAAAACCAAGAGTGGATCTAAGGGACTTTTCATCCTCAGCGTCCTCTTTTGTATTTCTGCTTGGAGACCAGTAACTGTTGGAGCCCTGACAGGTAAAATCATCCGCAGCCATCCAATCCCACTAACACAACTGTTATTTGTCAGCTTTAGCGTGAGGGAAAACATCGTAATAGGCAATTAGTTCGGTCTGGCTTTCTGCTGCTTACTCATTAAACGCGTTTGCTTTGGGGTGGCAACCACAGCTGCAAGTGGGTTCAACATCTGGCCAACATGAAGGAATTCATTACACTCGTTAAGCCTCTAAAAACAAGGCGATGAAGAAAAACAAAGTAAGGGATTAGTTTTATTGGCTCAATCAGGGTGGTGTTCTGCTGATTCAGTGTAAAAAAAGAGTTTTGTTTTCCCTGCCTGACTGGCATCAAAAGCCACAGGGCAGAGGGGTCATGTTTTTGAGCTCAGGTGCAGCTTGAACACTTCTGAATGTTTTCTCATTGGGTCCAAACCAGGTATCCAGAGAAGTTTTCCCACCAGTCTTGGCATTTCCGGAATACTGTGGAATCTTTGAGAGATGTATTCCAGGCAGGGAAAGAGCAAAGGCTAAAAATAAATCTTGCTGGGAAGCAAAGGAGTCACAACACCAGATACTCAAGCATAGCAACATAAAGAGAAAAGTGATGTATTGTTCTATAGGAAGTGAAAACCAGTCGCTCCTGTTTAGACTTCTTTAACAAGCATCAGGATGGAACACAGTTTACACTAATATTTAAGCACATATGAGTAACATTAAAAGTGATCAAATTAAACATTTGCACAAAGACAACCTAGCTGTTATAGATTAGGATATTAGACAAGCATTTCAGTTCTGTCTTGGGAACAACAAAGCACAAAAAGTCCTGCTAACGGAGGTTGTCATTTCTTTAATTTAAACTTCACAGGCAAGATAAAAAGCTAGGAATAAATAAATACAATTCTTGAAACCCAATGGTTAGTCGGATATCCACAGTTTGTAATGAATCTCAGATCCCCATGACATCCAGCCCTTTTAGACAGTAAGCAGAGGCATTCATGATGTACAACCGGAAACAATGACAGGTTATAAGTTAGAACCATGCAAAATCTGTTTCACACCAAACAACTGTGGCTGTTAGGTAGCGTTGTCGTATTTCAATTTGATTGTTGTGGGTTTAATCCCAGCTCCAGCTCCTGCAGTCAATCTGTAGTCGATGTATCCTTGGCTCAGTTAAAAATCTGGTTTCAGAACAAAACTCCTCATCTCTCCCTGGCAGGATTTGACATGAGATCATTTGCTACCACTATTTTCTCCTTGTGTTCAGGGCCGGCCCTAGACTTTTGGGGGCCCTAAGCGAGCTTTGGCTTGGGGGCCCCCCTCATTCTAGCACGTTCTCACTACACACAACACGGAACCAACTTTTGTCTTATGATGTTAGCATAAGAACACATATTGTATAAATAAGCATGTAAACACCGTGGACCTAACCTCCTCCAGGGGGTCTGGGGGCATGCTCCCCCGGGAAGATTTTTGTTTTAATATTGAAGTTAAAAGCATCAATCTGGTGCACTTTGAGAGCAAAATTAAGAGATCTATGGATACATCTCTCAACACCCATATGAAACAGAACTGTAAACAGATTTTTTTAATGTATATTTTACAAATCACTCCCCTATTAAATTGTATTCTTGTTTTGTCATATAGTATTTCATAACTGTTTCTCATTTATTCTCTCTGGCTGTCCATCTCATAATGTTCACATAGAAACTAGCTGTCAATAGGAATATCATTCAGAAGAATTATAATTTCATGCAAAAAACTGTCACAAAAAGAGGTTGCACATTTTAATTCAGGTGTTGTTATGGCAACATCAGTGGCCAAAAAGCCACATGTACTGCTAATACGTTCAAACATGCTGTCGACACGTAAAGCAGTGGCAACTATGCCACCATTTCAGCTGACTTTTTCTCAGAAATACTGTCACATAACATCCATATATTTCAGTGCTAGGTTGATGCTTAGCTAAGCTAACTATGAAACACTTTAACTGACAGGACTCCGGATCAACTGTGGTAAGGTGTGATAAGGTAGCTTCTAGATTCATGTCGAACAGTAAGTCAACATTTCCCAGAGAGCTTTCTTTGAAATCACCAGGTAATGCTAAAAAACACAACATTTAGATTGTATGAAAAACTGTTTATTTAATATATCTGGCTAGCTATAGCTACTTGCTAACGGTTTAGCTTACCCCCGCGATTCAAAGTAACGTCAACGTAGCTGTAATTTATGCTTTGCTTACATGTTCGCATAATTTGGAAGTTTACTGACATTTACATACCTTGTTTACCTGGCTCAGGTGGTGGCTCTGGGGTTGTTGTGTGAGCCACCACTTGAGAATTGTCTGTTTTTCTTATGTCCATCTTCAAAAACTCTGAGTACGACTGACAGTTTAAACATTGTCACAGCTCACAGGATAGGTACCCGTGAGCCAATAAGACAGACGTTTATTTCCATTCAACTCTCTAGTTGGTCTGGTGTCTTGCCTCTGTTGCATTCACTGAACACGGGAAATTACAATCCTGCCGTCCTCTCTAGTGCCATGATGAGGTTCAGGTAAAGCACGGTTAATGTATTATATTATTGAGTCAATAATATTGACTCAATAATATAATTATTATTGACTCAATAATATAATACATGACTTTGAGAGTAGGCAATCTAGGCATATTAGCACAATTAATTAAACATACTGATCACGGCGACGGTGTACTGGGATTATTATTTTATTTTATTTCTTTTTTTCTTTCTTCATTTTTTTGTGTTGCTAGGGGGCCCTTAGTGGCTTCCGGGGCCCTAAGTGGCCGCTTATGTCGCTTAATGGGTCGGGCCGGCTCTGCTTGTGTTGTTTGTTCAAACAGAGGCTGAAGTGTCATCTGTCTCTGGACTTAAAGACATTTCTCTGATGGCAGTACATGCAGAAAATAAAAACAAGTGTCCAGGTCCTCACATTTGTCACTAAAGGAATGTATAATATAATAAGACATGTCTTCCCATTAATCTAAAATCAGAATCTGACCGAGACATTTGTATCTTTATGAACAATGATCCTCCTTAGCTTACTTGAGCAAATGGCACTGTATGAATGAGGTATGAATGGGTAAATGATGACTTGTAGAATGTAAAGGGCTTTGAGGTGTCGTAAAGAATTGATAAAGTGTGATATAAATACAGCCCATGACCATTACCATCACCAAACCCAAAAAAGTTTCCAAAGTAGAAACCAAGTTAAATTGCAGCAGATTTGGAACATTCTGGATATGTGCCTTAAAAAACTATGAGTAGTCTTTGAATAAAAAACCAAAATGTTAACCAAAGCTAGGTCATTTAACATCAGTGTGGTCTGCATCCATCATTGGGAAGTCCTTCTATCAATCAACTTGGCTGTTATCCATCAGCAACTACAGCCAATGGATAACATGGAGGGGCCCCCACCAGTTTGCTCATGTGTTTTGGTCATTATGGTCACGCTAGCTGTACTTCTGCCCTCTGCAGATGTATGAGCATAAGGGACAGAGATTACAAGGATAGGCTCGAACTGAGAACGTTTCCCGATGTCTCGGCTCCTATTTGGATGTAGAGATGGCTGTAGTCCAGGAGTGAGGGGATGGATGGGGGGTGGGGCAATGCTTTGGTTTGTGAGTCAGTGCCGGTCTGACTCAGACGAAAACATCGAAATGATGGATGGGGTAAGGGGGCAGGAGTTGGAGGGGGGCGTGGCACAATGTGTAGCGATGAATCCAAAGAATGGCATGAAAAGGAGGCGGAACGAGGAAAAGGGCAAAAGGCGCGGCGTGAATGGCAAAGGGCTGAATTACGTAGGGTTAGAAAGCCAGGGAGATAAAGGAGGGAGTGAGGGGAGGATAAATGCTCGGACTGTTTTGGGTATTTTTGGCATGTGCACGTCCACTGACATTTAACATCTCCTACCAGAGAGTGAGAGTAGGAGGGAGATCATGAAAAACTAAAAAGCGAGGGAGTTCAGGGGGACAAAAGGCAGTAGAGGGAGTAGTTCAATGAATCACTGCAGACAGACCACACACACACACACACACACACACACACACACACACACACACACACACACACACACACACACACACACACACACACACACACACACACACACACACACACACACAGTTTAACCACTGCCCTGCTATACATCTGCATTCTCATAAAAGCCTTTCGAGATTAAACTGAAAAAAACATTGACTTTAATTAAATGTTTTATGTCAACAAATGACACGTAACTGTGTTAGGTTAGTTGAAAGCAACAATATTAAGTGTAAATACAAAATATTACAACTTAATATTATTGCTTTCACCTAACCTAATACAGTTATGTTTCAGTTTTCTCAGTGTATCATGATATGAATGCCGCACTTAGGAGCGGAGACAGAAAGTAGGGCTTCTTTTGTTCAATATGTCACAGAAAAAAGAAGAAAAAAGTCAGGGCTGCGCCAAGTCTTGAAAGAGCTCAGTCAAGCTTAAAAATAAAGAGAGGAATGACTTTTAACGCCAAAGAGCAGAGAGACAGGGAGGGGGCCCGCTGAGTCTCTGCCTCACCGCCTGTGAGGCAGAGACTCAGCGGGCCCCCTCATTTATTTCACACTCCCAGAACAAGCCTTTTCAATGCTGGGTGTGTGTGTGTGTGTGTGTGTGTGTGTGTGTGTGTGTGTGTGTGTGTGTGTGTGTGTGTGTGTGTGTGTGTGTGTGTGTGTGTGTGTGTGTGTGTGTGGTTGACATGCAAGAATCAAGGGCTAGTTCTACATATGAGAAAGTGCCACCGAAGTGTGCTTTTCACATGACATGTGTTTTCTAGGGGCTGAATGATGTGTGTTTACGTGTGTGTCTTGCATTGGACTCCCCAGGGGTCACAGTGGGGGGGTCAGGGGTTGAAGGTTGCCCATGAAACAGACTAGGTGGGCAGGTTGACAAGCTTGAGAAAATCTTTACAGGCATCGCTCCGTGGAACCAGAGTGATTTATTTTTGTCCGTGAAACTCAAGAACGCAGGCCGAGTTTCCTCATTCTATTTGATCTCTTGTCCATACTATCAAGACAAGGAGTAGTTAAGGAGCGTTTTGAAATGCTTTACGGTTGCGTAATATTTGTATCTTATGATGTAGAAGACATATTCCAGCAGGAGAGATCTATGTATGTGTTTGTGCCAAATGTGTGTTTGAATGCAAGGCTGTAACCTTTCTTTTATCTTTGACAAGCACTGCATGCCTCAGAAATACCTCTCGATTGTGTTTAGTGTCATTTAGGGTGACAGATTCATAGAAGCAGAATCAGGTTTATTATCAAGAAGGTTGACACATACAAGGAGTTGGCTTTGCTGTCTACATCAACGGTGTAAGAGAACTAAGGTTGTAAAACAGGAGAAAATAAAGGAACAATTATAAAACATATTTTAAGATAAGTACAAAAGTAAGTTTAAAGTAAGTACAGGATTAATGTAGTGGCAGACCTGCAGGCTCGTCTCTGCTGTCTGGTGTTTGTCCTGAGCTCTGTGCAATCTGAGTCTCTAACAAGGAGCCTTTGTCCCGCTATCAGCTCTGTCCTCCTCAGGTCAGCCCCCCCCCCCCCCCCATCCCATCAGTGAGGGACACGAGATAACTTGGCTCAGTGTGCCGGTGTAGAAACTCACCTGTTGTTATGATTGCACTGCCGAGGCAGAGTCTAGCCAACATAGATTGACATTTATCAGAAGTTAAATGAAGACGATTAATTGAGAGGTCAACAGGAATTTAAGTTAGCAATTTTGTGTTTCATCCTATTCTATTTTACATATTCCATCTTATTTCTACCTGCACTCCTTATATTTTGTGTCATGTTGAGTATATTAAAAATGACATTGTTGGAAGAGCCTAAGACTTCAGATTTCCATTGGTAATACTACGCTGCTATTGTGCATTAAAGCCTATGAATTTGAAGTGTTAATGATGTTCCTCAAACCAAAAACTAGCTGCTTTGAGCTTCCCGAATGTCAAAATGTGCTGCTTTTCTGTGTTTTCTGTCACTATATCCTGAAGATCTTTGGATTGAGGATAAATCTACACACAGTTTGAATATGGCACCTTAGGGGAAGTTGTGATCCCAGGGTAATTTCTATGTGAAGCACCATGACCCTTAGAAACCTTTAGAAAGACTAACAGGAATTCTAAAGTGAGGCATTGGTGCGATATTGTAAATGTGCCAGGTCTTTAAGACGTTAACTAACCCCTAACCTGATTCCTCCTTCTCTTAATCAAAGATCTGGAATTTGAGCGGAGTCCCAATACTGTCATCTCGTCGCTGGGCAAGCCTGTTACCATGCAGTGCACTCTGAAGGGCACGGGGGGCGAGGAAGAGGACCCCCCAGATGTGCTCTGGCTGAGAGACGGGGCGCTGCTTCCGTTCGCCGACACCAACCAGATCCAGGTCCACACCGGCAGCAACAGCTGGACCATCATGAGCACGCTCAGGTAGGCAGCGGTTCTTTCTGCTACACCGGCTAGTACTTTATTAGAGAGTATTGATGAGTGAGACAAAGGGATGACACTCGTAAAGGGACCTCAGGCTGGTTTCAATCCTCCGTCTCCATCTGCTTTCCTCATCAGGGCATGAGATTTAAAGATAATGGTGCCTCTGTTGTGAGGCAGCCACACCTGGCCTAAAAATGTCAGTCATGCATCTGCTTCGATTGTATTTACTTCCTGTTCCTCGATCTTACCGTTTCAACAAGCTTAACCAGTACTGTTGCTGGATTATTTTACCACCATCCTGCCACTATGGAGCACTTTTAAATCGAAAGAAATGATTAACCCCACGCAATAGCCTACGTGCCTTCGTGTATTTAATCCTGGTATGATTGGATGGCCAAATTTGCAAAGAAAGTAATCATGGTCTGTAGATGTTTCTGTCTCTATCACCCAGTATTTTTTTGTAACTTAATTTTTATTTTCAGGTATTACAGGAAAATAAAACACAGACAGTATTGCAGCAAGTACACTGAACAAAAATATAAACGCAACACTTTTGTTTTTGCTCCCATTTTTCATGAGATGAACTCAAAGATCTAAAACATTTTCTATATACACAAAATAACCATTTCTCTCAAATATTGTTAACAAATCTGAAAAGATCTGTGATAGTGAGCACTTCTCCTTTGCCGAGATAATCCATCCCACCTCACAGGTGTGGCATATCAAGATGCTGATTAGACAGCATGGTTATTGCACAGGTGTGCCTTAGGCTGGCCACAATAAAAGGCCACTCTGAAACGTGCAGTTTTGCTTTATTGGGGGGGGTCTGGGGGGGTCCGAAAACCAGTCAGTATCTGGTGTGAGGGGTAGGGTTAGGGTCACGGCCCGTCCACACAGCGGCGTGCGTTGACGCTTGGAGGTGGGCGTATCTGAAGCTTGGGGATTTTTTGCGAGCAACGCGACCAACAACCAATCACATGAATCTCCCGCCCCCGACATACAAAGCAATAGCAATGTTAAAACGAAGTAAACTGGATATAAAATCCCCAAACAGGCGAAAACCTACCAGCTTCTTCCACTGTCTCTGCCACCTCCCTCCATGCCTCGCTCCTCCGGTTTGTATCCCGGTAGATGAACAGAGACTGATCATACAGCACCGGGTGATTCACTACCGCTATAATGAATTTTCCCTCCATTTTTTGGAATATGAGGAAATGACCTGCGTAGTCTCTGCCAGCATACATGCGGTTTGATTGGCTAGCGCTTGTACTGGCAGATTTGCATAAACGGGATTTCATTGGCTGACGCCTCCGTCGAGGCGTCAAAAGTTGAACATTGCTCAACTTTTGAAGCAAGCAATGCCAGCAACGCTCCACGTCGCTTCCCAAAATGCAGTTCGGCTAAAAGTGACGTCACCCCATTCAAAGTGAATGGGCAGAAGCGTTGGAAGCTTCAACGCACGCCGCTGTGTGGACTGCCCGTTAGGGTTAGGGTAATGTTGTGAATCGAGTGGCCCATGGTGGTGGTGGGGTTATGGTATGGGCAGGCGTATGTTATGGACGACGAACACAGGCCACTCGATTCACAACATTACCCTAACCCTAACCCTACCCCTACCCCTCACACCAGATACTGACTGGTTTTCGGACCCCCTCAGACCCCCCCAATAAAGCAAAACTGCACGTTTCAGAGTGGCCTTTTATTGTGGCCAGCCTAAGGCACACCTGTGCAATAATCATGCTGTCTAATCAGCATCTTGATATGCCACACCTGTGAGGTGGGATGGATTATCTCGGCAAAGGAAAAGTGCTCACTATCACAGATTTTTTCAGATTTGTGAACAATATTTGAGAGAAATGGTTATTTTGTGTATATAGAAAATGTTTTAGATCTTTGAGTTCATCTCATGAAAAATGGGAGCAAAAACAAAAGTGTTGCGTTTATATTTTTGTTCAGTGTACATCAGATAAAAGTATACTTCGGGACAATGGTAGATTTTGCATACAATACCTCAAACTAAGATACATATCCCAACTCTTAAGCTAGAGGGAACAGATAACAAAAATACATTCAACAAAGACAGTTCAAAATAAAACTGAAAGAATAAAATAAATAAGAAACACGGCTATAATTAAGGGGTCACGAGGAGGCCATCACGAAGTACAATTGTAACAATCATTGTTTACTTAAACAAAAACACATCAAGTGCAAGACAGGTTATCACCTCTTTGTGTTAGGTATGTGTCCCATTTTACCAGAGGGCTTCACCTTTGTCTCTTTCTAGTCTTAGGCTGAAAGTCATGTGTTCCATACTGTGAATGTTTTTAATTATGGCTACCCATTGAGCGATGGTGGGAGGTTCCTGACAGAGCCATCGCCTTGTTATAGCCTTTTTACTTGCTGCCATAAAGATTTTTAAAAGATATTGGTCAATTTTTGGTAGCTCAGAGTCCATATTCCCCAAGTAAAAGGTAAGACGGGTGAAGTTTATATCATAACATAGAACTTCTCTGATGATACTATGGACACCTTCCCAGAAGGGTTTAAGAACTTGGCAGCCCCAGAATATGTGTGTATGACCCGCCTCACAGTGGCCACATCCTCTCCAGCATGTGGGTTGTGATCCAGTCTGTCTGGACTTTTGCTTTGGAGTTGTACAACATCTAACACAGTTTCTCCAAGAAAAGTCCCTCCACAGTTGTGAGGCTGTTGTAGTGATTTGTGTTTTGATTATATTTGTCCATTCCTCAGGGGCAATGACAATTCCCAGTTCCCTTTCCCACTTTACCTTTATGTAATTGGTTGAGTGTCCTCTCAGTTCAACTATGCATTTGTACAGCTCACCTACAATCTTTCTGGATAATTTTGCATTATAAGCCCTAATACATTTGAGTGATGCCCGATACATTACCTTGCATGTATCCTTTGATGTTCTTATCAAAATAGTGTCGAATTTGGAGGTATCTATAAATCCTGCTGGGCAAGGCCATATCTTTCTGACATCGTTTTAAAATCTATAAATTCTTGATTATCAACCAACACACAAAGTGCTGTAATTCCCTGCCTCATCCATTGAATGAACCTCGTGTCATTAACAGCTGGTTTGAAATTTGGGTCATGAGTCGGCCACATTAAGATTCGTATTTTTGAATGTTGAGTTGTTCACTAGGCCGGACCAGATCTCCATAGAAATCCGAACCCACCGACTGAGGATTTCATATTGTTTAGCAGCTAGTGGGCATCCTAGCAAACTCTGTAAGGGCCTGTCTAGCCTCGACAGCTCCATGTGTTTCCATTTTGCTAAATATTCTTTATTACACCAGAGCATCAGTGGCCTTATCTGTGCCGCTAGATAATAATCTTTAAGGTTGCGTAAGCCCATCCCTCCGCTTTGCTTTGGCAGCTGTAGAGTTTTGTATCTCACCCGAGGGGGTTTGCCGTTCCATATGAATCTTGATATCACTTTGTCCCATTCTCTAAATATAGTATCCGGAATATGAATGGGTAATGACATAAACAAGTAAAGAAGTCTGGGTAATATATTTGTTTTTACTGACATAATTCTGTTTCCAAGATCCAGGGGCAAAGAGGCCCATCTATCTAGATCGCCTTTTATCTGTGAATCTATATGTTCATAGTTATCAGAGTACATCCGAGACATGTCTTTTGTTAATTTTACACCTAAATATTTAATGAATTTGGAGTCCCAATTATACTTGTACTTATTTTTTAGATCCAACGTCGGGATGAAGTTGAACACTAGAGCTTGAGTTTTATCAACTTTAAGAGAATAACCTGACAAAGCTCCATATGTTTGCATCATATCCATTAACCTTGGGAGTCCTGAATCCGGGTTCTTTAGACTGACCAGGACATCGTCCACATAAAGACATATTATGTACTCTGTATCTCCCATTATGATGCCTTCCAGGTCTGTATCTTGCCTTATTGCCTGGGCAAGCGGTTCAATACATAGATTAAAGAGCCCTGGACTGGCTGGGCAGCCCTGGCGACAGCCACGCTACAGGTGAATGGTTCTAGACAGACTTCCGTTTACCTTGATTCTAGCCATAGGGGATGTATTTAATGTTTTAATGCTCATAATGAACTTCTCATGAAATCCACATGTTTCCATAACTTTATAGAGTCAAAGGCCTTTTCTACATCCATACTGAGGAGGATGGCACTGAGTTTTTCTTTTTGTATATAGTCAATGGTATGGAGAGTCCTCCTTATATTATCCTGGGTCTGCCTACATTGAATAAATCCACACTGGTCCTCATCAATCAATAGGGGCATCACTTCCTCCATTATTTTAGTTAAAATAGCTGCATATATTTTATAATCCTGATTTAGTACACTAATGGGTCTATATGACCCACATTCTTTCAAGTCCGTACCCTCTTTAGGAATTACTGAAATGGTGGCCTCCCTCCAGGAAGGAGGGAGCACTCCCTCATTCAGAGTGTAATTAAAGCTTTTATGAAGTATTGGTATTAAATGCTCTCTTAGTGATTTATACCACTCTCCTGGAAATCCATCTGGACCTGGAGATTTACATGATGTTATTTCTTTTATCAATTTGTCATTGTGCATTTTCCCCAGGGAGGGCAGGTCCAACCGGCTCAGAAACTCTTCAACCTTATATTCATCAAATGGTGTGGACTGAGTGTACAGGGCCTGATAAAATGTCTCAAATGCTTTTTGTATCCCCTCCAATTCACATGTAATCTTTTTTGTTTCACGCTCGATACCCAGGTAGTTCAGGCCGGTACTCTCGCTCAGTTCAGTTTTTATAAGATTCTCCACAAAAAGAACCATTGAGGTCCCTTCCGCTCCTTCCTTAGCCACGTTCACACCAAGTACTTTGCCGTACTTAGTTCCCAGCACTTAGTTCCCAGCACTTAGTTCCCAACACTTATGGCGCGTTTCCACTGCAGGCCTCGCTCGGCCGTTTGGTTAGGCCTTATTAGGCCCGGCTCACTTTAATGCTGCGCTTCCATTACAGTTTAGGAACTGGGGTAGTTACTATAGTAACGCAGTGTAGGAGGAGCCGTGACGTCATCTTCAATGAGAGCCCCAGAAAAACAACACAGCCGTTAGCTCTTAGCACTCAGAGCTCACAGCTCTTCATATCTGTTCAGAAACTAGACAAAAGTTAAACAAGTACAAACCACAGACTGCCTGTGTCATGGCGAATACAGTCGCTGGTTTATTTATGTCTGTATAGGCCGTTGTTGTGAGTGTGGACGGTCGGAGCATATATAACCAGGGTTGGGAGGGTTACTTTGTAAATGTAATCAGTTACTGATTACTGATTACATGGCTCTGAAAGTAATCCGAATACAGTTACAGTTACGTGTCTTAAAAAAGTAACGTAATCAGATTACTTTTAGATTACTTTTGGATTACTTTCTTTTTCCATCACAGATGGGTATGTTTTGGTGAACAGGAGACACAAAAAGCAAAAGGAAACTGAACGTGTTTTTACTGTTTTAATGGCGTATCAAGAGCACAACTGAAACATCACATCTGAAATGATGTAACAACATAATACACTTTTTGGGGATGCAACTTGGGATGTGAGGAGTGAGGGACACGGCTTAGAACGGGCGTGTCGCCTTCTGTCCTGCCAGTGTTGGCAGGACATGAATTAAAATGTCGAACTCGGACTTAATTTTAAGGACATTTCGGCCAGGGGTGTAGAGCTATATTTGTTTAAGCACCGGATTGGCAAAACAGGAGAGTGTGTGCACCAGTCTGCCTTGATCTATGAATTCGTGTCCGTGACTCTCACCGTATCTGCTGCCCGCAGCTGTTTTATAGAAAGAAAACCTCCTTCACTTCATGAAATCTCTGCAGCACCAGGAGGCAGCGGGAGGGTTAACTCCGTCTCTGAGAAGACGACCGCGCCGCGCAGTGCCTTTCACGCACCGCCTTCACTGTGTATACCTTCAGAAATAATCATTAGTAGCTAAAGAGCGACCGCAGGCTGATGTGTTTTAAACACACACACACACCACACACACACACACACACACACACCAACACACACACACACACACACACACACACACACACACACACACACACACACACACACACACACACACACACACACACACACACACGATTTAAAAGCAGACTTTTGTTCCTCCATGTTTCGCTGTTATTGTTTCACTGAGCGAGCGGACCCGCGATTTTTTTTTCAAACGCTTTTTTGGTCCATCTGCGGCGGTAATAGGTTTTGTGGGCTGTGATGATTCGGCTGTACCTACTAGTAATGAATATTAAATGTTGAGAGGAAATCTTTCCACCAATAATTCCAATAAGTAATCCAAAATGTATTCACTTCAGGTTTACAAAAGTAACTGTAATCAGATTACTCGTTTTTCAAATGTAACGCGAGCTGAATACAGTTACTTGATTTTTGTATTCTGATTACGTAACGCCGTTACATGTATTCCGTTACAACCCAACCCTGTATATAACGTTAGCCTAGCCAAGCTCCATTTAGAAAACACGCATTTTAAAAGGGTTTTTCGTCTGTCTGCAGACTTGTCAAAGCATTAATTCATGGTTTTTACTAACCGGTATCAGTATGTTGTTACTTCGGCATCATTTTGAAACGTGTATTACAATTAAATCACGGTCAAATATGTTCATCTTGTTGTAGTTGTAGCCCCCTTGCCAGCGATTCTCTCTCTAGTTTAGCATACTCAGCCCGACTCAGCCTGGTTGTTCCTGGCCCTAGAACCACGATTTTATGGGGCCAGAAAAAATGTGAATTAGGACCCGCTAGCCGGTACTAGGCCAAGTGGAAACGCAACCAAAAACGGGCCCCCCACCGCTCGGCACGCTTAAAGCGAGCTACCCGCTGCAGTGGAAACGCGCCATTAGTTCCCCTACTAAGAGCCGATCGCGTTCACACCGGAATAAGTTCCCTGAGGGAAGATTACGCAAATGTGCCGCTGACGTCACTTCGTCTTCTTCTGCTTTGGGTTTACTGGCAGGCCGCAAGCAACTTCACGGCGTATACTGCCACCCGAAGTCCCCGGAGTTGGGGACTGGCTTCAGTAGAAGCTGCTGGGAATCCCAGCAGCTTCTACTGAAGCCTTCCGAGTAAATCGCCAGAACGCAGATACCTCCTCATCTCCCATGTTTTCTTTTGTGTTGCCATAAATTAGACTCTCTGCGTTTGTGCGCTGGATGAATGCTAATGCTAATAATGCTAATGCGAGGATAATAAAATGGCGGCTCTACAAAACATTTCAGAGTTTTACGGGGCGTGGTTTGCAATTCGCCCAGCCAATCAGAACTGGGGCACTTTTTTCCCCCAGGAGAGTACCACCTCTCAGCAGGCACTAAAAATGGGAGTAAAAGTTCCCGGCACTAAGTACTCTTTTTGGTGTGAACGCGACATAAGGGGTACTAACGGAACTAAACAGGAAAAGTATGGGGAAAAGTACTCCGGTGTGAACGTGCCTCTTGATCCTCACGATCGCGCCACCGTCCTATCACCCAGTATTAACAGTTTTCTTTGTCATTACTTGACGTTTCTAAACCTGTCATGTCTTTATTGTACACAACAGTATTCAGAAAGTCCAGCTTCAAGACATGGGGGCATATCGATGTGCTGTTCTGTCAGAAATCCACCAGACCATGTCCGAGGAGGGCAGCATCCAGCTGGAGGGTGAGTTCATCTCCAGCTCTCTGATGTACCTGCCCATTGAGAGCTACAAAAAAATAACAAGTGCTACAATTGTATTAATAAAAAGACCCTGATTAAGCTAATGGGGGCGGCAGTAGCTCAGTCAGTAGTGTCTTGAGTTTGGAACTTAATGATCACCAATTGGTTTTTGGTTGTTCACTGGTTCAATCCCTTAAACGGACCAAACAATGGTGGACTGCCAAAATGAGACGTGCCATTTGATACCTGAGTCCTGTTAAGGTGTCCTTGAGCAAGACACCAAACCACCTTCTGCTCCAGGGTGCAGAAAAATTGCTTGTTTGACACCTCCATTATTGCATGCAGTTGTGTGTACGTTTGGCCTAGTGTGTAAAAGTCCCATCTGCATGTGTGTATTTCAACTGTAAATGTATAAGAACAGAGTTAAACTCAATTTCCCCTTATTGGATTAATAAAGTATTTCCTCTTCTCTCTTAGGTCTTCCTCACTTCTCGGTGGAGCCCCAGCACACGTCCATGGTGGCCAACGTGTCCCTGAGCCTGAGCTGCGTGGCCCACGGCCCCCCAGACCCCGTCAGGGTCATCTGGCTGCAGGACGGCGCTCCTCTCAACTCCCTGAAGGACCCGGTGGCCCTGTCCCCCTCCACCCTCAACATCACAGGTACCAGCTTTCCCTATCTGCCACCACATGAACACAGCTTAATCACAGCCATTATGATGTGTAGCCTCAATCACAATAGGGGCCATCTCACTTTGCCACACTGGGCAGTGATCAGTGGAACAGTCTCAATGGAACGCGTTTAGTTGACGTGTTCCATAAACTAAATTGAAAATAAAATAAAAGTATAATACCAACAGTCCAAAATACAAGGATGGTAGTTTTGTTAAGTAGATACATAAAATAAAAGTGTAACATTTAATTTGTTCTTAACAACTGACCATTTCTGCACAAATCAATTAATCGGTGGTCATTAAAGTACTATATAGGTAAAGTTTCTTGTTGCTGGCAGTAGCCTGTGGCCTCGATTAGTATTTTTAAAATGACTGTAAACAAGGTCATTAAAAAAACCATTTGTTTTCATTTAATGTATCTACACTGTACTGATTAAAAAGACACAGTTTTTCTGAATCCCTTCTCCGTGGCTTGAACAAAAACCCTCCCCGGAGAGAGTGGGCTGGCTGATATGGTGCCAGTGGATCCATTGAAAACGTGCCTTGTGGTTTTGTGGTTGATGGGTAAAAGTAGCAGGCACGAGACGCCTATTGGCCGGGGGAGGAGATTAATAGATGGGAAGAGGACATGAAAGAAAGAAAGAAAGGAAGAGGGTTCTGTTGCTGCTTGAATGCCAACCACAGAGGCCTGCCAGAGAGCTGGCCTCTGTTAAGGGGGGGGGGGGGAAGCAGGCAGCAGTGGTTCTGGTTTGACTCACCAGAGCTGGCTGGCTGGTGCTGAGCTGGGCCCGTTTGACTGTAACCAACACTCACATCTCTGGAATGGACAGCTGCTCTGACACGGGTCCAAACACAAAAACTATTAAAAAAGGCCCATAAAGAGAAATGGCACAAAGAGCATCCCACCCATTAATACATAAACCTCAGATTTGAGGTAATTGAGTAGAAAGACACTGCAAAGGTTAAGCAGAAATCCTATATATTATTTTGTAGCCAATACAAACATCCCTGGTGATGTTCTGCCAAGCGTAGAGGATCTGAATGAACTAACATATCCTAAAGCAACAGTCCTCGGTCCATCCTGGGACTTCAACCGGGGACTCTCCAGTTCCCAAGCCAAGTCCCTGTAGACTGTCCCCAATGCAGCATTCTTGAATTCTTGCTTGAATTGAATCCAGGTGGCGACTGATTTGGAGCGTCACAAACATTTCTAACTAAAACATTTGCATTGATTCAAAATTGAATAAATAATAATAATAATAGAAGGTTCAAGTTGTTCAAGTTGCTGATAAATGTCAGCTTCACAGATCTCGGCTTTCATACTTTTCTCTTTCTTGTAACCGTCGATGTATGAAGAGAACTGGATACAGTGTTGGGGGCGGGCCCGTTCATTCCTATTCAAGCTTCCTTTCGGCGCATGAAGCCAAAATATATAGATATTTTTATTGATTGGGATAAACCCTTTGAGATGCACCATCTCGTTTTCAAGGGGGTCCCGACAATAGCAACAACTTACAGACATACATAAACAAAAAGACAAAATGCAAAACATGACACACAAGACAAACCACATACAGTCTGTTAAGTGAAATTCAACCAATGCACACAATCATTACAATTTGAGACAGTCGAGCAAATCAGTTTCATCAATATCAGTTATAACAAGTGCAGACCAGTTGAAAGTGAGATAACAATGCATGTTTAAATAAACCCAATGATGCAAGAGATCTAATGGCAGCAGGCAAAGTATTCCAGTCAGTTGGGGCTTTGAACATGAACGCTCTTCTGACAATCAATTTTTTTGCAGAGGGGACAGAGAAATAAATCTGAACAGAATGTCTAACTTGATGATTTGACGAGTAGGGTACAAAATACTGCTTTAAATAAGGGGGATAGTTAAGATAAATGCATTTAAATATCAGCTGGAGCCAATGCGTGTGTCTTCTTACATTTAAAGAAGGCCATTTAAGTTGGTTATACATTGTGCAGTGATGTGTATGAAAAGGACAACCAAGAACAAATCTGCATAGTCTATTGTAGGCTATGTTGAGTGGAGCAAGATCTGATTTATGTGCATTTTGGTAGACAACATCACAATAGTCCATAATCGGAAGAATAAGTTGAGAAGCAATTCTCTTTCGGACACTGAGCGTAAAACAATTGCGAGAGCGGTGTAAAACACTGATTCCATAATTGACTTTTTGTATTTCATGCTTTATATGTAGTTTAAATGACCTGACTGTATGTACAAAGAGTGCCAAGATCATCTGCTGATCTGGGCACATAGAGCAATAGCATGCGCACTTGCATTTTCCTCAGGCCCCGCCTCTGAACTGTTTACAGAAGTGTCACGTCCTGTCTCGGATCGGTCAAATGAATGGAGAGGGATGATGACTCTGCATTTATTTTTTTATCACCTACTGATTTAAATAAAGGCTATTCAAGAGTTCTCAGTGGGTAGTTGATTAATTAAACGCTTTTTACAGACGTCTCTTTCCCAATCCCAATTAGCTTTAGAGCCTGGCTCAATGCCTGTGGGACATAACTAACTATTTGAAAGCGGGAATTTGTGATATTTATTTTTCAGCTATTTGCAACATTTGACAAATGTACACATTATTGTTAAATTGATAAAAACGAATTGATTAGTTAATCCATTATGAAAATAATATTAGCTGCAGCCTCAAATCCAGTTTGTACAAAAAACCATGAAAAACACTGTAGGTCAAATGCCTCACATGTCAGTCAAGGAGAAGAAGCATCAGGACTGACACTTTGCATCTCTTCGACACTATTAGTTTGTTTCGTATTGCCCATGAGCTCAGGACTTCTTCCTGGTGACCGATCATGACATGTTCAGCTGGTCAGGGGAAGTCGCGTTGCGGTCTGCTGATGTGAGAGGAAAAAGACAGAAGGCCGAGTTACGCAACTCCGAGATGGCCTGATGTGCAGTTCATTCTCCCACACGGCCAGTGGTCATCCCTCACCCCTCCCTCCCTGCTCTTCCTCTCTCCCAATCCCCCGCGTCACCCAGGATCGTACCCCCTGTTCTTTTTCCGGCCAACACAATGGAGGCATGGTGCGGTCAGCACAGAGCGACACACAGACACTCTGTGCAGGGCCTCAGTGTCTGACTGTCGGGTGTTAGATAACAGCGGTAAAACTTGACTGTCACATGTTGCAGTATGTGTGTGTGTGTGTGTGTGTTTCTGATTTGAGTGTGTGAGCATACTGTGAGTCATTCTCTGTTGAAAGTCAGTGTGTGTCAATGTGTTGTGTTTAAAGGGCCCCGGCCTATTAGAGGCAGGGACTCAGCCTCTTACGGCCCGTCCACACGGCGGCGTGCGTTGAAGCTTCAACGCTTCTGCCCATTCACTTTGAATGGGGTGACGTCACGCTTTGCTGAACTGCATTGTGGGAGCGTTGCTTCGCTTTGCTCGCGTTGCTCGCTTCAAAAGTTGAGCAATGTTCAACTTTTGAAGCTTCGGCGGAATCGTCAGCCAATCAAATCATATGCCAGTACAAGCTCTAGCCAATCAAACTGCGTGCGTGTGTGTGTCTGGGGCGGGAGATTCATGCGATTGGTAGTTGGTCGAGTTTCAGACAAGCTCACCGGCAAGCTTCAACGCACGCCGCCGTGTGGACGCTGCGTTACACCTGGACCTCAGCACGAGCACTCGCTTTGTTCTCTGGACTACACTGTAACAAATGTCAAGCTGCAGGCATAGGAACAACACACATGCAGCCCGAGGGAAGAGATTCTTAAGCTTAGAGTTTTGATGAGGTTCCACATTGTAATTGAGAATGTGTGTAACACTGTCATTAGAACAATCACACGGAAAGGAATTTGAAGGTTGTCGCAGTGAAACACTACTTGGCTTGTTGAAGGATTTCTGACGTCAGATTAAATAAAAACTAAGTTTCAACAGTAATTATCAGTAAGAAATAATGGCATTTATATTCAAACAACAGTAACATGGAATCCCATAAAACCTTTACTTTTTAATCAAATGTATTCCAGTTTTATCCTAGACATCTTAGAACCTCCAAATGATAAAATCAGTACTCACTGTGCATACATCTATATATTATTTTCAAGAAAATGCACATCATTATCAACACAACAGAGCTAGATTGTCAAAAGTCTTAAAACAGGGAAAAGTTGTATTGGTTTAGGGCTTTGCATTATTATGTGTCTTTAGATAAAAAAAGACAGATGAAATATCAATACATTCATTTTTTACAATACATGTTTGCGTCCAACCCTAAGAATAATACAAGCCGTAATCAAGCACTATTTTGAGGGACTTGAGTATTTACATTTTTTTGCTGCTTTGTATTTCTACCCCACTGCATTTACGCAGGGAAAAGTGTACTTTTACTCTTTAGTTTCCTTGCGGATTTGGATTAATAATATAAAATATACTAATCAAATGTCAAATCAGACTTTAGTTCCACCTGGAGTAAATCCACAAGCTACCCTGCAGTATACAAAGTCATTCAAACTAGCTGCACCTTTACCAGCTTTGAGAACACTTTCATGATCAATCATTATAAAACACATCAAATTATTCAGAATGAGTACTTTTACTTTTGGTAATTGAAGTATACTTTTGTACTTTTACTGGAGTAACATTTTGAAGGCAGGACTGTATCAGAGTATTCCTACACTTTGGTACTTCTACTTTTACTTAAGTACAAGATCTGAGTACTTCTACTTTTACTTAAGTACAAGATCTGAGTACTTCTACTTTTACTTAAGTACAAGATCTGAGTACTTCTACTTTTACTTAAGTACAAGATCTGAGTACTTCTTCCACCTCTGGATACATATGAGACTGTCAGAGGCACTGTTATCAAAGTGAAAGCTGTACAATTATGTGTGATAAGAGACACTGTTACAAATATGAACAAGAATAAAATGTGTTACATAGAGACTTTACAGGACACATTTTACTTAAAGAAACACAACTATTGAAATGCTAAAACTGATATGTCTCGTGAAGGCCAATTTCTTAAAAATGTACTTTCACATCAAAAAAAGGTATCTTCGCTTTTGCTGTAACTACTGTATGTAAATGTCCCCTCTGTGGGATGAATACAGTTATTGGGATTCTGAAACACATGCTAACCCCAGAACCAATCACAATACTGTTGACAGAGATCCCGTTACCTCCTGGAAGCTATTACCCTCACATCATTCGCACTTTGGTTTCAACTTTCACACTGTTTCTTCTCACATTAGCATTAGGTGCGACTCAGCATGCTGAGCAAGGATTCCTGGTTTAAAACCCCCCCACCCCTAAATGTTCCCGCCTCACATGCTTTGTTTCATTTCTCCTTCCAGGTTTGAACAGGACCAGCACTTTTTCCTGTGAGGCCCACAACCGCAAAGGCGTGGCCACCTCTGGATCTGGAACCATCACGGGTAGGTGTCACTGTGGAAGCACCAGTTAGACACACTTTTCCTTTTCTATCTTTTTTATTGTATTATTCCTTATCGTTTCATCTTTATTCATGATGTCTTTCTTTCTGTAGTCCTCCCATCAAAGCCTCAGAATCTGCAAGCTTTGGAGATTACTCCGACCAGTCTACATATATCATGGCAGCCCGGTTTTGGAGGCGACTACCCAATAATCCGCTGCTCTATTCAGGTGAGACAGCGTGAGATAAACATGAGAAGACCATAACTCACTGAGAAAACGAGTCACTGGTGATTGTTTGACCCACATGTCAAACAAACACACCACTCTCCCGCTATTTTCTACTATAGTTCTACTTTTGAGGCCTAATTTTAAAGCAAAGAGAGATTTATTTTCCTTTTCTTCTCTTAACTCATCCTCCACCCCTCCCTGCTTTATTCATGTACCAGTGGGTCACGTTTCACTCTGGGAAAGTGGCCTCCTGGACTAATCTTGTGTAGCACCACTCCCTCTGCCACTATCCTGCTCTGTGGCCATTACAGCTGAGAGCAGGAAAATGTTTCTCCTGGAGAAGGGAGCGGAGCAGCACCACCCCTAAACGTCTGGTTCTAATAAAGCTGCCCCTCATACCTCTTGCTGTTCTTGCCCCCCTCCCTTTTCCCCCCTCCCTTTTCCCCCCTCCTCAGCCTCACAGGGGAACAAGGCAAGGGGCCGGCTCCAGCAGAATGGGGTAACAATCTGAATTTAACGGTCCATTGTGTGGGGAAAGAAACATGAGAAAATGTACGGAGTAGAGAGCTTAACGATGTTACTTTGCTGCACAAAGGAAGCATAAAGCAGACAGAAAGAAAGGCAGAGGGAAACAAAGACAGAAGACGACAAGAACGAAAGTCACTTATTGAAAACAGGAACATCCAGACAGCAGGTATTGTGGGTTTGAGACATGCTGAGGGAATGCAGGCTGGAGTGTGACTCAGAGCTGAGCTGCACAATTAGATTAATACACTTGTTTACGGGCTGGACTGTGATTCATCCAGACAGGAATGACTCGCTCCTTCTCTCTCACACACATTCATTCAGTCCTCATTCATACACCTTAATATTACTTGGGATCACACCACCTAACTCACGCCATGGAGAAAAAGCACCACCCACTACTCGTGAACTCTCAATAGTCATGTTGTTTTTAAAGGTCCCGTATTATAAACAGTTACATTTCTCCATTTCTTTCATTACAAATCAGATATAGATGCTATATAAATACTGTTACAAATATCAGAGGCTCAATCTGCAGCCCACATTCCGAAATAAAATAATATGAATGCTCAAAAAGTTTCACTAGTGGTGCAGTGATGAAGTATTTTTGTAGGATGTCCCGAAAGTTAGAATCCTAAGGGCTCCCTCGAAAAAAAGCAATGGGATTTTCCCATCACAATTTGGAATATTGCAGAAATAAGATCTTTGGAAAACACATGATACTTACACATTTTGTCCACATGCATTGTAGTTGCAGTCACGACCAGTGCGCAGATGCAGAATAGACGGAAACACTGACCAATGAGAGTAGACTGGACTTTTTTCAGGGAATAGTTCTTAAAGAGACAGGTGCTAAAACAGTTTCACACGGACAGTAGGCCTATAGGAAAAATAATCCGTTTTTTCTTTTAATTAAATATAAATAGTAACCCAAAAAACATGTATAAACATGAAAGTGAGTACGGATCCTGTAAAATCATCAGCAGAGTACAACAGCACCTGCGCTATACACACACATGATCTGTTGGTATGGCTGCTCATTTGTATTTAGGTTTTGGGCTCTGACTTTAAGCCCACCCTGTGAAGAGCAGCCAGCAGCCTGCAGGAGCAGCTTGATAATGAACACCAGAATAATGGTCCCGACTGGCGACTTTAATGTGGTTTTAAGATTGCTGCAATGCATGCGCTATGTTCCTCTTTAAACGTGTTTACCACAGAGAGTTTGCAGAGACAGCAGGTTTCTGATTGTTCTGCTTCCCGTGCACCTTACTGAGCCTGGGTCACGTTCAAACAACAATAAAGACGTTTTTACGACTTTTCGGCCATTAGCATTTCATTGCCATCTCAAAGCATGGACTCCAAACTCCTTCATTCTGGAGCGTCTCTCTCCCGAGAAAGACAACCACATGTTTTTGATTTAGAAAAGAGGAAGTTTCTCTTTATTTTCCATACAAGTGGTTCCTGCAGACCAACTGTGATTGGTAATTTGTAGATTTAAAAAAATATTGATAATATCCTATTAAGGTAGTATTGATTGTATCTATTAAGACCACACTTACATTTTAAATCCTGTTGCTTTGCACATTCAAACATATAAAGTAAATGGTTGTCTACCTGTTTAAGTGTTTTATCTGGCTCTGACTAGTAATAATAGACATCTTGAAAGTGACTTATTGAGTTATTCTAATAGATGCCATTGCCAAAAGCATTGGTTTCAGATCTGTTTGCACTAGAAGAACAAGGTCCTCTTCCTGTTTGTGCCATAAAGCAATAAAGACAGGGAGATTTGAGCCTTTGCAGACTATTTAAATGCAGGAAAAGGAAAACCCTAAAAAGCAAAATAGCCTTTAAATATAAACATATCAATACGGAGAAAAATCACAACACAAGTTTGTCATTTGAATGTTTCAGGCCAAACACTCGGGAGAACCCTTCACAGGACGCCCAGATAAGATGATCCACAATCAGAACGTGAACATCCCCCCGGCCTCGCACCTGATCGGGGGCCTGGAGCCCCACAGCCTGTACGCAGTGAGGGTGGCCTGCCACAGCAGCCAGGGACCCTCCGCCTGGACCCCCTGGGTGGAGCTGCACACCAAAGAAGGAGGTGAGTCCTCAGAGGATGTTTGTTTTCATCCTGCATGTGTGAGTGCGGGGTCAGCTCCTCTGAAGTGAGTCAAGGCTGTGTTATCTGGCTACTGACAGCCCCCCCCCCCCCACCCCGCACAACTGCAGGAATGGTTGAGCCTCATTTAAGTGTCATGTGGTCTGTACAAAGGATTAATTTATGGAAGTATATGAAGCTAATTTCTGCTTTCATTTTCAGATACATACAGTAGTTGGAATGTACTGTTATGACGAGGATACACATTGTGACTAATAATTAAATATTCAAGATTCCTAGTCCTCTATTATTTATTTGTTATTGTTTCTAGAAGCCCCAGGTCAGTGGTTAGTTGTTGCGAGTGTCTGCCATTTTAACCTTTGACCCTAGCTGTGTTCTTATCTGATCTCCTATGTGTGATTGTTTTATATCTTGGGTTAAATAACAGCAGTCAATTGCTACAAAAAGTCCCCAAAAGGGGCCTCTAGGGTGCAATAGTCAAAAAGTAAATGCAAAAGGTTATTCCACACTTAATTATAGACAGTAAAAGGCCTAAAAGGATACTCTTAACTATCACGCTTGATTCTTCTCCCCGTTATGAGCTTTATTTCGTGGTGTAGTGAATACACTTCTGCTTCTCAGCTTGATTCTATATGATAACAAGAATTGAGTTACAGTGCACGGTTAGTCATAATACTGCTTCCCGTGCCCCTTCCACTTAAGTCTGTGTTCATGAAGAATACCAGACCTAAGTCACTGTACCTCTGCAATCTTTGAAATGTAAACTCTTGAGGTAGAAGGCTGCCTGGTATTGGAGAGACAGAGTAGGTGTGGAGGGATGGAGGGAGGGACGTTAAATTCTCCTGAAAGGCTTCAGTTAGGATCGCAGCACTCCGTTCAAACTGTACAGGCTGCTGTGTTTGACTTTAAACTGAGGTGGGATTTTCCATGCCAGCTCATGCTGCCTCTATCCCTGACGAGCAGGAATGGAAACAGCAGAGGAGAGATCTGCCACAGGAGGGATGATCGGGGCTTTCCATGATTGAAGCTGCTCAGAATCTGAAAGCACTTCAACATGGCATTTCTCATGAAATAGGAAAATGGAGAAGTACTTGTAATAAAAGAGAAGGAGAAAAAGTGGTTTTGAGATAAGCTTGCTACAGTCGGGATTTTCAAGTTTCACTACTCTATTCAGCAGAGTTCGAGCAAGCTTGGCTTTGTTTCTGTGGAAAAGATCCTCTGGTTTGCAACATTATGTAATGTCCCTTTGGACAGCATTGTCTCACTTGTTCTAATGAGTCAGGGGATGAACAGAGAAACAGAAGATTTGGCTGCTGGTCAAGGATAGTTCAGGAGGCACTGAGGGTCAAAGGGAGTGAGGTTAAAGAAGGGAGGCTCACAGCTCAGACACATTTTCCACTTCTATCTCTTTGTTTTCAATGCTGTGCACTAAACTCCCACAAGGCTCTATTGTTGGGACTGAAGTGTTTTTCCATTTGTTTTTCATTTGGAAATCACACACATAGTATGTTCTTCACTATCTCTTTCCCCATGTCTTCTTGGCACAAACATTTACTGCTCCCATGCCTCCTCCTTAACCCTTTAATGAGCTTTCACATATACATATTTTGGAAGTTAATTTCTTGCTTTTATTCTACATTATACCCATTTTACAGATGAATACACCCGTATTACACCGTCATTATCCCCCGTAGTACACCCATATTACTCCATCATTATTCCCATGTTACATTATTATTTCAACCATATAACACCCTTGTTACACCCATTTGACACCCATATTACACCATACTTACACTGTTGTTACATGAGTTTATCAATATATATTACACCCTTATTACACACTATTACACCTTTATTACACCCGCATTACACCCATTTTACTCATTTTACCCCCATGTTACATTTTTCTCACACCCATATTACACTGTTATTACACCCATGTTACATGGACACAGCCTGTTAAATGACTGTGTCCCACAGGACACAGAAACCTTAAGGGTTCATTCTTGAGTGTTCTCTTCATTACAGACTCTTCTCCTGCATGCTTTTGTTGTTCTCATGTCCATCCTTCATTCCCTCGTTGTTCTCATTTTGTCGCAGTAGTCTCTTTGAACCTCAAATCCTACAAACTGCACCGCAGAGTTTATTCCCAACATCAAACAAAACCTTGTTTTCTAAATCCAATCTTCCAACTTCACCCCATCATCGCTCATTTCCCCCTTTCTTTTGACCTCAGATGACCTGTGATTTCCCTTCTGAGAGCACACAGCTATGCACTGTGGGAAACACACAATAAGGGGTCGATGGTGGGAGAAGGCAGGGGATGGAAACGAGGGAAGAGGGCGCTTTGAGAAAACACTAATTTTGCTGTTTTCCCAAAGCCCGATATTTCCCCCAGAGAACAGAAAGGGGGGAGGGGGGTTGGGGGGAGAGGAAGCGAGACGACCCATATCACCCCCTAATCCTAAAGCTGCAACGACATGATGTTTGACATATCCATTCTGTAAACGCATTATCCCTGCACACAGTGGTGGAAAAAGTATTCAGATGATTTACTTGAGTAAAATGATATACCAAAATGTAGAAATATTACATTTCAATGAAAGTACTGCATCTTCAAAATCTGTATTGATAAAATACCTAGTAAATACATCTGCCAAATAAATGTAATGGAGTAAAAAGTACAATATTTGCTTCTAAATGTAATTCAGTAGAAGTATAAAGTAGCATAAAATAAAAAATACTCCAGCAAAGAAAAGGGAAATCAAATGTGAACTTAAGTACAGATCTTGAGTTAATGTACTTAGTAACTTTCCACCACTGCTTGCACATCCAAATAAAACAATCTAACATCTTCTTCAGAGCGTCTTTGCAAAACAAAATAGGCGAGGCACTTGACAAATGTTTTTGAGTTCTTTTGACACACTTCTATATTCCGAAAAGGCACTCCTTAATCCCTCCACACATCTGTTTGTACCCCTAAAGTGACGCTACATTGAATCCAGAGTTACCGGACAACCAAGCTCACCATTCTAATAGGAGTGAGTCATGGAGACGTGGCACAACACACACGTGTCATATGTAATCCTATTTAATACCACTGCCAGTAAAAAAAAGGCTCCATTTGCTGAAGACAGACAATTACAGTGTGTTTCACCACGAATGAATCAAAGTGGACGTCCATAAATGTTGTGACATTTTTTGATGACACGAAGATGCGTGTTCGGAGTGATCAGGGAAACATGTTTCCTGTGTAGTGCTGACATCGTTTTTGATTCATGGAGAACAGACCTCCGGGGTATGAGTCAATATTTGGCTTCAGGGTGACCCTTTTCCATCCACGTGTTGACCCCCCGGAGAACTGAGAGGACGAGATGGAGACCCAGGAGCAGTCCTGAGTCTGAACGCTTCCAATGGTTATCCGACACTACATTTGCAGCACTAAGCAGGAAGTGAAACAGTAGTCTGCCATGGATGCAGATGTTAACCTCTTCTGTTGGAAACTAATTGTGACTCCAAAGTGTTTCTCAGCCTCTTGCCAAGCCGAGCCTGGGAAACAAATGTTAATCTGTAGTTTCTGCATTTTAGACAAACAGCACTTGCACACAGTTTTTACCCCTCCTCCACAAATCTCTAAGTCAAGGCTTACTTCTCTTAAACTCATAGCTCCGTGACAAAAAGAGAGACATTTACAGCAGAGGGGGCAGCGAGGGAGGAGACAACTTGGAAAGAAGGAGATCGAGTAATGTTGGATTGAAGACAGGGAGAGGAAAGGCAACAAAGGGATTGAGAAGGAGAAGGCAGAGAACGGGGGGGGGCACAGATGACGGATCATAGGTGGAGACGATCTTCTGGAACGAACTTGACTTGTTTTCATTGCCGCTGGCAGGCAGAGCAGGGACCGCATGTGGAAACAATCATCCGCCAAACACTTCCTGATAACATCATCCTATAGGCGTGTGTGTGTGTGTGTGTGTGTGGTGTGGTGTAGTGTGTGTGTGTGTGTGTGTGTGGGTGTGTGTGGGTGTTGTGTGTGTATGTGTGAGTGTGTAGTGTATGTGTGTGTGTGCTGGTAGTGTTGTGTGTGTGTGGTGTGTGTGTTTATGTGTGTGTGTGTGTGTGTGTGTGTGTATTGTGTGGGTGTGTGTCTTGTGTGTGTGTGTGTGTAGTGTGTGTCTGATGTGTGTATGATGTGTGTTGTTGAGTGTTAAGTGTTGGTGTGTGGGTCTGTGTGTGTGTGGTGTGTGTGGGTGTGTGTGTGTGTGTAGTGTGAGGTTGTGTGCTTGTTGTGTGTGTGTGGTGTCTCTGTGCTGTCTGTTGGTGTCGTGTGTGGTGTGGTGTGTGTGTGTGTGTGTGTGTATGTGTGTGTGTATGTGTGTGTGTGTGTGTGTGTGTGTGTGTGTGTGTGTGTGTGTGTGTGTGTGTGTGTGGTGTGTGTGGGTGTGTGTGTGTGTATGTGGGGTGTGTGTGTGTGTATGTGGTGTGTGTATGTGTGTGTGTGTGTGTGTGTGTGTGTGTGTGTGTGTTTGTCCAGTTAGTTTGTGTGACTTTTTAAGCCTGCAGAGTAAGTGAGAAGCAAAGACAAAGAGAGCCCTAACTCAGACGGCTACAAAGGAAATGAGCACAGTCGTCTCCTTGTGAAAAGGTTCTTGGATTCTTGTGTCTTACACAGCATCAATCTCAGACACACACACACACACACACACGTGCACAAACACACACACAAATTCCTCACACTTTCTAGCATTTTATTCAGCAAGGTTTTCTCTCCACTGGAGATTTCTGTTGCCAGCAGCCCTTTTCTTTCACTCTCTGCTCCAGAAAGCCAGAACAGAAAAGGGCAGGCGAGAGAATGAGGCAGAAACAGGGATGGACAGCCTGGAGGAGGGGGGCAGGGGCCCCGGCAAGTGTCCGTTTGAGGTCCTCCAACCGTGGCTTTTGAACTAGCTAATCGCCCCACTCTGCGGTGCTCTCAGCAAGCCTTTTTTGTCCTTATAAAGCTGAATTCCTCACATTCCCTGACATCTTCCCCTTCCAGCTGTTGTAGTTCTCCACACCCTGGAGGCTGCAGGCTGTCAAAACAACACACGCCTGAAACCCCCCCGACACACTGGCCCCTGGCCACCAACCCCACAGTCACACCCTGCTTAGCCAATCTGACAAACAACTCAAAAGCGGTATAAAAGTTTGAAAATGTAAACTCGTTTTTTTTTGTTTCAGTGCCAGACCACCCGCCCGTTAACGTTAGCGCTGTCCTGAACGGGACAGACGTGCTGCTGACATGGGAGGGGCCCCCAGGAAAGCTGAATGGAGAACTGCAGGGCTACATGGTGGAGTACAGCACCCCCAATGCTCAGCAGGTATGAGGCACCATGCAAACTGTTTGACATTGTTCATCCTATAAATGAAGATGTTAAATCTGCTTGATTCCGACTACCTCTTTTCTTCTGTTGACAGTTTGTTGTGGACACTGGATTGGCCACCGAGCTGTCAATCAATCTGTCTGTCCCCCTGTCCAATGTGACCTTTCGAGTGTGTGCCTATACAGTGGTGGGGCAAGGACCCTGGACCCCCACACAGACCCTGACCCTTATTACTCCTGGTGAGTGCCAAAAAAAAGTGAAAACATACTTAAAAAATAAAATGAAAAAACATTGAATTTGCCGTATTTGTTGAGAAGTACTTTAAATGCTTTTTTTAAATACAGAAATTAGTTTTCTTTAAGAAACTTATAAGCAAATATCTGTCAAGCGACCAAATTAAAAGTGGTTCTTTGGCATGATTCTTTCAACTAATCAATTAGTAATTATAAAATAAATAATGAGTTAACTTAGGTTATATTTTTAAATGCTGCATCATTTCGTACGTCTTCTTTATAAGGTATAATAGTTTATTACAGTTACAAGAAGATTCGTATACATCCTGCAATGATAAACACATTTTTAAGGTTTGACCAAAGAAAATGTGTTACTTTTGTGTTAATATTGACACGAGCTACGCTTTCTCTTTTCTCTCACAGAAATGGAGGAATTCAGAGGTGAGTAATGACTGACTTTACACATTAACAAACCTACCATTAGCTCTGATGTGACCCCTCCGAGTGACACGTAGTGACACGCTGACAGTGGAAGTGAGATCATGGTGTTTTTGAACACCATTCGACTTCTCTTATTCTCTGTCAGTGGGTTCCTCCATGAGCCTGCAAGTTTCTTCCTGTGTATCTCTGAGATAAAAAGGGAAGGAAGAGAAAAAGGAGAAGAGAAGATCTCAGAGTGAGATGAGAAAGGGGAAGAGAGAGGGGATGGAGGGGTGAATGGGGAGACGCATCATAAATATTTATAACAAGCGAGAACAGTGTAGCATCTCTGTTTGCTTAGTCCAATAGAGCCAGACAGACAATTCAAACAACAAGAATGGCAGATAAAAAGAGGCAAGGAAAGTCGAGGGAGGGGGAGTGTGAATGAGAGGACAAGTTGGGGTGGAGGTTGTGGAAGAATAGCAGCAAGGGAAGCTGGGAATACATTCAATGTGAGAGGTGGGACTGCAAGAAACAGTAGATATTTTGAGAATAAGGAAAAAATTAAACATGCTGTATTTTTAGAGGAGAAATGTTTAGATTTAGCTCAACAAATATGCAGGGAGGGACTGAGGTCACTTATGGCGCATTTCCACTGCAGCGCGTAGCACGGTTTAAGCGTTGTTTCGTTTCCACTAGGGTAGTTCCGGAAAACATGAATAAAACTACACATCTTCAGATGTTATACACACATAAGTGTCCTACACTAATAATACAAAGTTATTATGGCATTGTATGCTGTGTGTATCTTATTTGTAATATCTTCAGACCTTTCCAACTCCTCAACAGTTGCCTGTCTTTGACTGTTGCAGGTTTAGGTTCAAATATAAAAAAAAAATATGTGTGGATAACAAAATACATCCGTGATGAACTAAGCTGGAAACTTATACTGGAAAGTATAATTTATTGTGTCAACACTCACTGTAAACTTGACAGTTTTTTAACCCGCACCGCCTAGTGGTTAAAGCACGTTATTGCATTTTGTTGTTGAATATGTTATACTTACATACTTTCATAGGGGGAAAGTAGAAGGTCAATGATAGAAATATAGAATATAAAAAATCAAGAAGATACTGTAAGTGATCTCTACAATAAAACAGTTTAGTGCACGATGTACAAAGATATTAATAGGAGGATGTGCAAAACAGACAAACTAATTAACCTTTATTAACACATTAAAGAATACTTTAGGTTAAGGTCTTCTTTCAAATAAGAAAAAAGCTTTGGGGGTATCGATCTACAGATAAATATTAAGCCTGACAAAGTACTTAACGTCTAATATATTGCTTTCCTGCAATGTTAACTATGTTGAAGCACTTATTTTAACTGATATTATACACATTAATTATACTCTTATGTGTAGATAGTATAAGAAATGTGCAGAATATGACAGTTTAATGGTGGAGGTATACACACACATATTGATAGATGTCTTGTAATGCACTGTTGAGGAACCTGTGACCCAAGTTTTTCATTCATTGCATGACTACACCGTAGTTGTGTATATGATATGTCAATAAACCTTTGAAAATCTTGAAATCTTGAAAGGGATGTGCAAAACAGCCATAATATACAGTTTTTAATGAACTATTAGTAGAGAATAACGATTAATTAATATACTTTATAGAGATCTGCAGATAAATGTTTAGTCTTCTCAAGCGCCAACTATCAAATATTTTTTGGATTTCATATCGCATTAACACCATATCCCAACGTGCATTGCGGCTAAAACATCCAATCACCGAGCTTCAACCATAGCTAAGGAACTTGGGTAATCAGTTCAGTGGGTGTGTATCACAATGATCCTCAAAATGTCCCTTATAGGCCTACGTCTGTTTCCGGTTATTTTTATTTTGAAATTCAGTTCCTGACGGACGCCAAAAAGCCAGAGATTATAGAATCAAACAAATAAATAAAAACAAGGATAATTATGTTATTGGTGAGTAAATAACAGTGTGTTATTTTGAAAAGAATAACAAATTAGAAGGAAAAAAAATTACAAAAATTACAGATTTCAGTATTCTGAGGCTCTGAGCCCCATTTCTTTTCCTCGCGGACGGTAAAAAAATGATACGATTTAAAATAAAAACAATAATCGTGGCTTGATATTGAGTAAGAACATGTTTTTATGAACCACACAGTTTCCGGTCTTCCAAGACCTGAACGGACAAAAAGACGTGGTGCAGGCACGAAACATCCTACCAATAGAAATACATTGCTTTTAAAATCGTTCTGTGTGACACGAAAAAAAGGGGAAAATCGTGTTGGTGAACACGAATCAATAGATTAAATGTTGTGACTATAACACGAAATGCCGTGAGACTGGGTTGAACGTTGTATATGCTCCGACCGTCCACACTCACAACAACGGCCTATACAAACATAAATAAACCAGCGACTGTATTCGCCATGACACAGACAGTCTGTGGTTTGCACTTGTTTAACTTTTGTCTAGTTTCTGAACAGATATGAAGAGCTGTGAGCTCTGAGTGCTAACAGCTAACGGCTGATGTTTTGGTTTTGTGGTTCGCATTGAAGATGACGTCACGGCTCCGCCTACACTGCGTTACTATAGTTACTGCCCCAGATACTAAACTGTAATGGAAACGCAGCATAAAGTGAGCCTGGCCTACCAAGGCCTAAGTATACCATACTAACCCCCTAATCGCACCAGGAGCGTCTACGCTGCGGCTGCGCCGCGCTGCGACCTCCTCCTGCGTCCTAACCCACCAGGCGCGTTTCAAAACGTTGCGGAAGCGGAGCGTCTTGTGTGCAGCCTCGCAGTTGTTGGGTGAACATTCCACTTCCTGCCTGCGCCGCGCTGCGCCGCGTCAAAAATAGGATTCATCCTATATTTTAGAAATTCCTTGCGGCGAGGAGCTTCTGGGACGCTTCGAGCCGCGGCGCAGCGCGGCGCAGCGCGGCGCAGCGTGTCTGGTGGAATAGCACCCATTGACTAGAGTGGCCGCAGCCGCAGCGCAACGCAGCGCAACGCAGCGCAACGCAGCGCAACGCAGCGCAACGCAGCGCAACGCAGCGCAGACGCTCCTGGTGGGATTAGGGGGTAAGCCGTGCGAGGCCCTGCAGTGGAAATGCGCCATTAGTCAAATTGACCAGTAAAAACCAATTTTCCTTCACAATAATGCTGCATGTGTATAGAGTGGTGCAGGAATCATTCCTAAATCAGGAATATGAGTCAGCATTTTACCACTTCCGGTTTGGAAAAGCTCTTGGTTAAGCCTTTTCACTCTATTGCTGTTTTAAACTCCTGAATTTCCCCACAGGGATTAATAAAGGTCAATTTTATCTTATCTTCAAATAAGATCTGTGGTTAACACTAGTTTAAGAGATTTTCAAGTTTTGTTCTATGAGAACATATGTCAGTAAACACCCCATTGGTGAATGTCTGAAACTTCTACAGCATGTGTCTTAAAAAAAGCAGTACCACTTTACAATAAGACTACCCTTATAAAGGGTTTACGAATAGTTTGTAATTAATTTATTAATTAGGTTGTGAACACTTTATACATCCTTAATAAGCTTTTATAAGACATGAGATAAACAGGGCAACTGTGACCGGTTGCTTGCCAAATAGTGAGCCCACATGTATCTGTGCTGCTAAGCCTTATTAGAAATGGTAGTAATTCATTAATAAATGGGAATGTGTTTTACACTTTACAACAAGGCTCCCTTTTGGCAACTATAAATGTTAGTAACTCATAAATAAATGGTCATAAAGAGATGCCAAGAAACATCGAGATGGAAGGGGGGAATCAACTCAGTGAACAACAGATACCAAGGATGTTGGCTGAGGAAGAAGACAAAATAAGCTAGGTAGCCAATATAAGGCTTAGTCATCTTGCCAAATAGTGAGCCTGTCTGAAAATTATGTTAGAACTGGTTTATAAATGGTTCTTAATGATTAAGAAAGTGCTTACAACCTAATTAATAACCTAATTATAGACCCTTTATGAATCCTTTATAAGGGTAGTCTTATTGTAAAGTGGTACCAAAAAAGCTAATGGCTAACTGGTAACTAAAGGAGACATTAGCCGCTGTTAGCTTAGCGGTGGTGACGTGAAGTCATGTGACCGTGATGTGGTTCGTTTATAGCCTAGCCTTAGTTTTTTACATCTTTCAATTTGTATTTACACTTCAGAAATCATGAAAGTGGTGTTAAAATGTAGAGATTATCTTTACTGTACAAAACACGTAAGACTCATAAACGTGTGTTGGCGATAGATCTTATTTTCTGTGATATTCCAAAATTCCATTGATTTTAGTCGAGGGTTGTTGCTTTTTGTCACAATAGGGGCTCCATTACTTCTCTTTTCACGTTAAAAACACATCACTAAACCCTCTTCTGTCTCTTCCCACACCCCTTCCCCTCCCTCAGGCCCGTCAACTCCTCCGGCTTTTTCCTGGCACTGGTGGTATGTGGTGATGGCCATTGCCGGCGCCGTGTCCATCGCTGTGCTCATGGCTGTTTATGTGGCCAAGCTGCGGCGCAAGGAGACGCGTTTTGGGTGCGTAGGCTGTTGGCGCTCCTCAAGAGTGGAAGGGAGGGACTAGATAGTCGTGCCAAACCAAAAAATCTTCAGTGTTTTTCCAACTCCTTGACCGAGTTGTGCATGCCTTCTGAAAGCATTTGGAAGTAGTTGCTGCCATCTGTTTTGCAAAAAACAACAATAACTCTAGCGAGTTATGGAGGCGTGCCATGTTTTCAGCTGTGTTTACGCTTCTGCTGGAGAGGCTTCTCATTGTGTTTTGCCCTGATTTATAATGTGTGTTCACAGAGAGGCGTTTGAACCCATGATGGAGAGCGGAGAGCTGGTGGTCAGGTACCGCGCCCGCCGCACGTACAGCCGAAGGACCACAGAAGCAACATGTGAGTCCTCCTCTTTGCACCTGCATGTTATTTAGAAAGGTTACACTTTGTATTTCCTCCTGCAGCAGTGAGAAGTAAGCCTCTCAGCATGCCCAAACCTGCCTAGTCCCCAAGGATAGATAGCGATACAGAAAAAAAGGTAGCATAGCAGCATCTTCTCTCACGCCCTGGGCTTGGATCCAACAGTTCACTGGAAAGAACCATTGTAGAGACAAATACACTTCAAGTCATAACACAGGAATCACAGCTTGGGTTTGTTAGTTTGATCAAAGTCAGAAACAGAAACATCCTAAAGTTAATCCATCCTCTACAGCTGTGTTCAGTCAGCTGACAACTACACTGTGGCCCTTGTGCTCTATAATGCCATGTTTTATCTTTTTACAATCGTCAGATCAATTAGATGTGCAGTAAATCCATTTGTGAAGGTGTGGCCAGTAGTATTAGGAATGAATGGTAGAATTGAATTTGACTGCAATGTAGGCGTTTTCTGACAAAGTAGAGCAGAACAAAGGAAGGAAGTGTGAAAGGGAAGGTTACATCAAGATTACCTCAGATTGTTGGAAAGGGGAGAGAATTACCTGACGTACCTTTGTTAGAAATGTAATTGTAAAAACAGACGAGGAGTTACTTGACTGCTCTGCCTGGAGGTCATTTCACCTCTGGGGAGTTAGGGTGAGTTTCAAGTCCCCCCCAGGGGGAGGGATGACCTTGTACCTGTCTAACACAAAGCAGAGGTTCGGGTGTATCACCAGCCTGCAGTCCCTGTGATTCCTCCTGATTCCAGACAGAGATACCTGTAAACACAGCACAAAGACTCTGATTTCACACAGCTCGGTCGCATTCAAGTCGTGACATTATCCCAGGTGTACGAGAAATATTTGTGAAGAACTCATATACAAGTCTCAGCTTGCCACAGCCACAAAGAGGCCGGGGGATAGGGGAAAACAACAAAACTGAGACCCGCCAAAAAGATGAGAGATGTAGAGATAATGTGCACTGTGAGTGAATGAGAGAAAGCACACCGGGAATAAATGAAGGGGTCAGATTGGAGGGATTTGAGAGGGATTTACGCCGCTGAGGTTGACCGGTAATTTTGGCCAATACCCTGGGGCTACGGTTATTGCGCGCATCGGCTAATGGCTAGTCACACCAGCATGTGTTGGAACATGCCTGCGCACTGAGAACACTGTTGTTGGACGCGTGGCAGATTGATAGTGTAGCAGCAGCTGGAGAGAGATCTCTGATGCATGTCGTTGCCTTGTCATATTCTGGCCCAGATGTGAAAACAGAGCGAACTTCCATAGCAGAGTGTGCTAGTCACCAAACAGCTGAGTGACAGCCAGCTGGTGGAAGAGAGTCAGGAACATTTAAACCAGCTTAAATCCTCTGAGCTCATCTCCCCTAGTGAGAGACTTTCTCATGGCAGATTTGCTCTGTACAGTGGAATTAGTTTAGTTTGGGATTTTTCTGTCAGGATTGTGTTAACATGTCATTGTTTACGGGATAAAGTACGGGCTAAGTATCTTGCTCAAGAACTCTTTCACATGTTGACTGCCGGGCTGGGATTAGAACCACTGACCCTGGTATTGACGCTCATTTATCCCCTGAGCCACAGCTGCCCTGTTTGCAATGTAGATTCAAATGTCAATCATTTAAAAAGAAATAAGGGTTTCTGTAAGATATTTCCATTGTGCCTGTTCCCAAGCACGCCTCTCCAACAAGCCTTAAAGACTACCGACCCGTGGCACTTACATCGACCATCATGAAGTGTTTCGAGAGGCTGGTCTTGGCTCGGCTTAAATCATGCCTCCCACCCACACTTGACCCCTACCAGTTTGCCTATCGTCAGAACAGGAGTACGGATGACACCGTCTCCACAGCACTACACCCTGCCCTCTACCATCTGGATCAGAGCAACACATATGTACGATTCCTGTTCATTGACTTTAGTTCAGCATTTACCACCATCATTCCTTCCAAACTGATTACCAAGCTCAGTGACCTTGGCATTGACCCCTCCCTCTGCAACTGGATACTGGACTTTCTCACAAACAGACCCCAGCATGTTAGAATAGACAAGCTCACATTCTCTAATCTCATCCTTAGCACTGGTCTCCCGCAGGGCTGTGTGTTAAGTCCCCTCCTATATTCCCTCTTCACACATGACTGCAAACCTGTACATGGCTCAAACGCCATCGTTACGTTTGCAGACGACACCACAGTGGTCGGGCTTGTCAGCAACAATGACGAGACGGCATACAGGGAAGAGGTTGAGCATCTGGCAGAGTGGTGCGCTAACACAACCCTGTCTCCTAAAAATTACGTTCCCACAGAACTAAACTGCATTCTGAATTACGTTTAGCTTGAAACGTATTTACTCCCACGTTACGTTCGTTATGAACGTATCTAAAATACGTTTATTTTCTACATATCTTCTAGAAACATATTTTCTCCCACGTTACGTTCCTTATGAACGTATCTTAAATACGTTTATTTTCTACATATCTTTGCCATTTATTGCCTTGCTTATAATAATGATAATAGTCATTTATAAATATCATTTTAGAGCACACCTTTGAAATCGAGAATCAGGCTCGATATATGGTTAAATTAAAATCAGTAGGCGAGGCTGTAATTTCGCCAGCTGTTACTCTCATGAGCGAGGCAGAAAATAATAGTTTTAACATGACAAAAAGCTGCTGTGTCGTTTACCTCAAACATTAAAACAAATCCAGAGTTACGTGTTTCTGTACTTCCTCTAAGAAGAAAGGACAGTAAAAGAAGAGCTCTGTGGCTTCAGGCTTGATCGCCGTTCAAATGACAGCGTTGGTTTCCCCAAAAGTTGGCGGAGCTGTAAAGTGACGTAGATTTTACTATCATCTATTATTCAAAACCATTCTATGTATTCTAACGTAAATTACATGCCAGTGTTTTATCTTTTTATTTATTTGTTTTTATTTTAAATCGTATAATGTCGGACTTTTTTCCCGTCTGTGAGGAAAATAAATGGGGTTTAGAGCCTCAAAATACTGAAATCTGTATTTTTGAAAATCTTTTCCTTCTAATTTGTTATTCTTTTCTAAATAACACACTGTTATTTACTCAACAATAACACACAATTATCCTTGTTTTTATTTATTTGTTTAATTCTATAATCTTGGGCTTTTTAGCCGTAAATAAAGTCACCAGAAACAGACGGGACATTTCGAGATTTAGGATGGCCGAAGACACTACATTACCCATAATCCCCAGCTATCGTTTGGGACTACAGTCCCGTTGACAAACCCCGTGATGTTGGAGTGGTAGTGCGCCAAGGTTACGCCGAGCGTCAAGCTCTTTGAAATGGAACGAAACCACGGCAGACTATTCAAAACTGGACTCGAACGCCCCCCGAGAAATACACATGCTGGCTATTGTGTTTCGCAACATGTTCTCTATGGCACGTATCTACTGGGAATTGTAGTTTTAAAAGACGTTTTTCCCAAAATTAGAAGTTGCCAGTATTAAACTGTGTACAGCCCTGGAGGTTTAGGCGATAGGAAACACATTGGTGTGTACACATTTAAAACATGTAATTACTAAATGGGTAAAAATCGCTTATATCCATAATGGGCAGCATTAATATATACCCACACGACAGCTTACTTTGTAATTCTACTCCACTACAATTCAAAGGTTAACCTGGTATTTTTACTCCACTACATTTAGTTTAGTTACTTTGCAGATTCTGATTAATGATGTGAAATATAAACAACCCTTAAAGCAGACTTTAGTTACACCTGAGTGAAAATTCAGGGAAGGTGATTGTCAAGTGCCAACAATCAGGAGAGATATTTGATAGGTGGTGCTTGAGAAGACTAAACATTTATCTGCAGATCTCTATAAAGTATATTCATTACTCGTTATTCTCTACTAATAGTTAATTAAAAACTGTATAATGGCTATTTTGCACATCCCTTTCAAGATTTCAAGATTTTCTAAGGTTTATTGATCATATACACAACTTGGGTCGCAGGTTCCTCAACAGCGCATTACAAGACATCTATCAATATGTGTGTACCTCCACCATTAAACTGTCATATTCTGCACATTTCTTATTCTATCTACATACATAAGAGTATAATTAATGTGTATAATATCAGTTAAAAGAAGTGCTTCAACATAGTTAACATTGCAGGAAAGCAATATATTAGACGTTAAGTACTTTGTCAGGCTTAATATTCATCGGTAGATAGATACCCCCAAAGCTTTTTTCTTGTTTAAAATAAGACCTTAACCTAAAGTATTCTTTAATGTGTTAATAAAGGCTAATTAGTTTTTCTGTTTTGCACATCCTCCTATTAATATCTTTGTACATCCGGCACTAAACTGTTTTATTGTAGAGATCACTTATAGTATCTTCTTGACTTTTTATATTCTATATTTCTATCATTGACCTTCTACTTTCCCCCTATCAAAGTATGTACTCTTAATATTGTTTTCATCAAATAACATTATTCAACAAAAATAATTCAATAACGTGCTTTAACCACTAGGCGGTGCACACAAGGTACACACAGCATACTAATAATAACTTTGTATTATTAGTGTAGAACACTTTTGTATGTATAACATCTGAAGATGTGTAGTTTTATTCATTTTTTTACATAATTTTACAGGATATTGCTATATTATTTCACATGTTTTACTTCTACACATTAATATCTGATTTGTAAAACATCACAGACAGAAAGGTATATCCGTCATTTAATGGTACGCTATTGAAATTCTGAATCCATAGATGTGTCTCCCATCACCCAAATCCCCTGACTATTCTCTCAACTCAGTATTTACATTCTTATATTCAAAGAAAATCAGTAATATCTTTAAAAACTACAAGTCCTTTTCTATCAGCTGTGCACCGTTATGGTGTAAATATAACCTATTATCTACCAATTGGATCAAATATAAAAGTCAGCCGAATTACTATTGATACTGCAAGGAGACGTATTTTGTGAAAAGAAATTGAAGATGTTGTTTAATTGTTGATATATTTATGATCCACATCAAGTATTCAGTTTTGGCGGCAGTTCCTCATGTTTGTCTAGAAGTCTTCTCATCAGGGCTCTATAAATAAAGAACTACGGCAGATGTATAATATTTAATGCAGCTGAACCGTGTATTACAATGCCGTTATGTGATGACTTCCAAAGAGAAAAGCAAGAACACTCTGAATTAGGTATTATTTTATTTTTCGTTTTCGGATATCACAACTTATTAACACCATAGCCCAGCGTTTATTGCGGCTAAAACATCCAATCAACGAGCTTCAAGCTGAGGATCTTGGGTAATCAGTTCGGTGGGTTTGTGGTGTGTATCGCTCGAAATGTCCTGTCTGTTTCCGGTGACTTTATTTACGGCTAAAAAGCCCAAGATTATAGAATTAAACGAATAAATAAAAACAAGGATAATTGTGTGTTATGGTTGAGTAAATAACAGTGTGTTATTTAGAAAAGAATAACAAATTAGAAGGAAAAGATTTTTAAAAATACAGATTTCAGTATTTTGAGGCTCTAAACCCCATTTATTTTCCTCACAGACGGGAAAAAAGTCCGACATTATACGATTTAAAATAAAAACAAATAAATAAAAAGATAAAACACTGGCATGTAATTTACGTTAGAATAAATAGAATGGTTTTGAATAATAGATGATAGTAAAACGTCACTTTACAGCCCCGCCCACTTTTGGGGAAACCAACGCTGTCATTTGAACGGCGATCAAGCCTGAAGCCACAGAGCTCTTCTTTTACTGTCCTTTCTTCTTAGAGGAAGTACAGAAACAAGTAACTCTGGATTTGTTTTAATCTTTGAGGTGCAATAAACGACACAGCAGCTTTTTCTCATGTTAAAACTATTATTTTCTGCCTCGCTCATGAGAGTAACAGCTGGAGAAATTACAGCCTCGCCTACTGATTTTAATTTAACCATATATCGAGCCCGATTCTCGATTTCAAAGGTGTGCTCTAAAATGATATTTATAAATAACTATTATCATTATTATAAGCAAGGCAATAAATGGCAAAGATATGTAGAAAATAAACGTATTTAAGATACGTTCATAACGAACGTAACGTGGGAGAAAATACGTTTCTAGAAGATATGTAGAAAATAAACGTATTTAAGATACGTTCATAACGAACGTAACGTGGGAGAAGATATGTTTCTAGAAGATATGTAGAAAATAAACGTATTTAAGATACGTACATAACGAACGTAACGTGGGAGAAAATTCGTTTCTAGAAGATATGTAGAAAATAAACGTATTTAAGATACGTTCATAACGAACGTAACGTGGGAGAAGATATGTTTCTAGAAGATATGTAGAAAATAAACGTATTTGAGATACGTTCATAACAAACGTAACGTGGGAGAAAATACGTTTCTAGCTAAACGTAATTGAGAATGCAGTTTAGTTCTGTGGGAACGTAATTTTTAGGAGACAGGGTTGGCTAACAACAACCTGGCTCTCAACACCAAGAAGACGAAAGAGGTCATTGTGGACTTCAGAAGGAACAAAGACGGCACGCACTCCCCAGTCCATCTTAGTGGAGAAGAGGTTGAGCGGGTCACCAGCTTCAAGTTCCTGGGAGTCCACATCTCGGAGGACCTCTCCTGGACCACCAACACCTCAGCCCTAGTCAAGAAGGCTCACAAGCACATCTTCTTCCTGAGGAAACTGGCAAAACTCCGCCTATCCTCCCAGGTGCTAATGAACTTCTACCGTTGCACCATCGAGAGCATCCTCTCCACCTGCATATCAGTATGGTACGGTAACTGCACGGTCAAGGACAAGAAATCACTGCAGAGGGTGGTGAAGATCGCACAACGCATCATCAAGATGCCACTGCCTTCCATAGCCTCAGTCTATGAAAAGCGGTGCCTGCGAAGGACACGGAACATCATCAGAGACTCTTCCCACCCCAACCATACACTGTTTATCCCCCTACGTGGCACCCGCTCTGGGACACGCTACCGCAGCCTCCCGGATAGAACCAACAGGACTAGGCACAGCTTCTTCCCTTCAGCAGTCAGACTGCTGACAATGAACCCCACGCTCTACCATACTGCCTAGTTGTTGTCGTGTGCTGTGCTGAAGCGCAATTATCCTTGTACATTACTGTTGTATATACAGTACTGTATTCACTGTATTTATTATTATCTGTGTATTTATTCTTATTTATACATTTCCCATCTATTTACCTTCATTTTTGTATCATTTATTTTGTACATACTTCTGATAATTGTTTATATAACTGACTGTTTTGCACTCTGGTTAGACCCTCCTTAATTTCGTTACACTGTGCACTTGCATTTTGTAATGACAATAAAGTAATCTAATCTAATCTAATATGATAGCTGACATTCAGAGTAGGACTTTTTTGTATTTTTGTAACATGACTAACATGTGCATTAAAAGTATGAATCATTTCTTACATTAATACAATTAATACACTTTTAAACAATGTTATGTTACCTTAAAATCATTATTTCAAAAATAAAACTAAAAGATCAAAATTGACAAGATTTAATTAAAAGAATCTGGTGAGTTTTACAAGTAGACATACAGCTTTTATTTCACTTATATTCCCATTCCCATTGTTATTCAAGCTGGCAGTGTTTATTAACACTTTGTTTTTGGCTTAGTGTCGAGCATAGTGGTTTTATAGTCTGGCTGTTTTTCTCTTCTGTACTGTGTTGTTCATTAAAGTGCTTTGGTCAGCAAACACCATTAACATTCCTTATTTTTTCCTCTTCAGTGAACAGCCTGGGCATCAGCGATGAGCTGAAGCAGAAGTTACAAGACGTGATGGTGGACAGACATAAACTAACCCTGGGAAAGACCCTAGGAGAAGGTACTGCTTTGTTTATTGGCTTTGTTTTACTATAAAAAATATTAGTCTCATGTCTAGCAGCTTGGGTTTCATATCTACAGTTTAAGTACAGGGGCTGCCAGACAAACAGCATGGTGAAAGAGGCATTTGTGATACCTTTGTCTCAGGCATATTTAATGGTTAGGACTTGCTATGTTTTCACCCCTGGTATAGTCGAACAGTTTACAACGTGATAATCTCATAGCCAACCAGTCTTCATTGACATTTAAAGGGTCCCTATAATGCTTTTTGGGGTTTCTCTTTCCTGTAGTGTGTTATACAGGTTTGTGTGCATGTAAATGGTCTCCAAAGGCTAGTATCCCAAAGTTATCTCCAACACACAAACCTTTTTCAACATTAAAGCATGGATACATGTTACAGTAGAGGCACCAAATACAATTATGAAACATCAAAATGAGCATAATAGGGCCCCTTTAATGTTGTTGCATATAACTGACCATTGATTGTGTTTCTTTCTTCAGGGGAATTTGGCTCTGTGATGGAAGGTCTGCTGACTCAGGAGGATTCTTGCCTCAAAGTTGCTGTCAAGACTATGAAGAGTGAGTAGACAGTTAAAGCACTCAGCAACCACCACAATGAATCCCTTCATCTTGAGAACACGGGCAATTGACGGAATAGCCCCTCGGGTCAACATTTTACAAGTTTTGGGGGACAAACATTTCATTTTTCAAACAGATATCTTGTGAAAAATATTGGCAGAAGAAACAGTTGTCCCCACATTGGATGTAATGCCAAAGTAAAGTTAAGATTAGAAGATTAATTTTAAGGGAGAAAACATTGGGGAAAACAGCCTCTTATGTGAGCCAGTTTCAAGCTGTAGCGACGCAGTTAAAACAAACTGCAAACATGTATTAAAGCAGAGTTTAATACATTTAGGAGCCAAAACACCCTCGGAAATAAAAGTTTATTTCTTACCTTGGCAACTTATCAGCCTTGCAGCAGTGCCATGAACTATAGAAAACCCACATGTTCTCACCTTTGCACGTCTCCTCCACAGTCGCTATCTGTACCCGCTCAGAGATGGAAGACTTTCTCCGAGAGGCCGCCTGCATGAAGGAGTTTGACCACGCCAACGTCATGAGGCTTCTAGGTGAGACAGGAGTCATGCTGCCGAGCACTTCAAGAACCGACACAGAAACACTGGAGATTAACACATTTAAAGTTTAAAATTAAATGTAAAGAAAAACCATTAGCATGTGTCTTCCAAAAAACAAATATTACGTTTTTTGATGAATATCTCAAAACCTGGGCGAACAAACTTTAAATATGCCCATAACTAAACACAACTGTCTTTAAAGGTCTTTGAAATTAGGTGTCATTAAAGTCATTCCATTTTAGAATGAAATAAAATGAAAGATAAATTATTAAAATATATAGAATGCATAGTCTGTATATAACACAAGAAGTTACAGTAAGAATGTGCAATAAATAAATAATAAAATAAATGTATTCAAACAATAGTTGTTGCAGTATAATGTCCAATAAGAGATACATAAATAAAATAGGAAAAACAAATTATAAAAAATGATATAATGCCTACCTGCCTGTCAGCCTTCCATCTGTGCACAAACTTATCTCGTGCCCTCATTGGTCATGTGCGCGTTTGTGTGTGTTGGAGGAGGGGCTCTGTAAGAAAGTCTGAAGGAAGGGGCAGATTTTTTTCGGCTGCGTACTTTCAAATTCTTGCGCACTCGAGCTGCTTTCTCCATTCTTACCTACCCTACCTTTAATGTTAATATGAAGTTAATTCAAGACTGAGCTGCTTACTTTATTATGCATAAAGTCGTGTTTAATTACAGGAACTGGATGTATTATATACAGGGCCGGCTCTAGACAATTTGCAGGGGAGTGCTAGGCGAGATTTGTGCTGGCGCCCCAGCCAGAGAATCGTATAAATGAAAGATACATTTAGGAAATATAAAGATCAATAGAGTATCCAAGGAACACACAATGGAATGGGGGATGGAGGTCACATCCTCTAGGGGGGGTCCGGGGGTATGCCCCCCGGGAAGAATGTTTTGAACATTTTAAAGTAAAATGCTTCAATCTGGTGCACTTTGAGCAGAATTACTACTAGATCTAGTGGGTACAACTCTACACACCCATATGAAAAAGATCAGTTTACATTTTATTAATCAAATAAGTATGTGAACATAACCAATAACCTACCATAGCCAATAACAAATAAATGTAACTTATTTTATTTTTGTTGTTCTTTCATATTTTATTCGACCAGTTAACATTTATTTATTTGTGTATATTTTGTAATCTCTCCAGTTTAAAACGATATTTTTGGTTTACAGTCCTATAGTACTGTAGGTAGGCTATACATTGAAATGAGTTCAAACCTGTTTATCCCAATAATTATAAAGGAGTGCCTTGGAAATATTTGTTTATACTGTAAATTGTGATCAAACCGTTTGAGACCCACTAAGATAACTTAGACTAAAGTGAACTATCTAAACCCTCAGAGTCCTTTACCTCACTGAGCCTCTCAGTCTGACTGGAGAGCTCTCCCTCCACATTATTGTAGAAACATCTACTTCTTATATCCGTTAGAGCAGCTAGCATCAGATGCTAATAACAACAGCGCTGGTACCGGTGCACCCTCCCTTTCTCCCTCGCTCGCTCCCACGCTCACTCGCACTTTGGCTGTGAGCTGCGGGCGCCTGATAAGCCAACATCCCCCATTTTCATCACTTCCAGCGCCCATCGTACAGGGCAAATGAAAAGTATAACCGGGATGAAAAGGGTGTTACATTTACTTAATTATGAATATTGTTACATTAAGGCCGAAAATTAGGATGAGCCCCAACGGTCAAAACATTTTTTCTACCAGCGCAGTGCCTCCACAGATCTGGCGCCCTAGGCGAACATCTATAACGCCAGTGCTACGGGCCAGCTCTGATTATATATGTATAACACTGACTCTCTGTTTTTACAGGTGTGTGTCTGCAGACTGTGGAGAGTGAAGGTTACCCCTCCCCCGTTGTCATCCTGCCCTATATGAAACACGGAGACCTGCACAGCTATCTGCTCTACTCGAGGCTCGGAGACTTTCCTGTGGTTAGTCTGAGTTCAAACTATAAAAGCACAGAGTCAGCGACATAAACGCACAAAGTCCCACACAGACCCACACTTTATTGGGTTTATAAGTTCACATGACTGTCTGTAAGCAAAATGGGATCCAAGGGTCAAAATAGACGTAGCGTATTTGTTACAGTCCCCAACCACACCTTTCTGGTAGCGTGCACACTGAGATCACGAAAACACAATATATGTGTCATTCCTATCTCCAGTGTCACTCATTAAAAGATGAGATGTTCTTTTGGAATCAAAACTGCTATACGCACTAAGTCCCCGAAGAGCTGGCTTGAGAAACACAAGCCTTATAAAAACAAAATTCTTACAGAATGTTGAAACATCCATGAGTTCGGCAAACATTCAAAAACAAAGTGGGGTTGGAACCTATTGTTCCCACAGGAGGAGGTTGTTAGTATCTGGAACAGGGAGCACTCGGTTCAGGCTGAAACATGGATTCTAGTGCCCTCTACTGAGCAGAAAGAAAACATCAGCCATGTGAGAATAACATATTTTTGTCTTTGTGATGTCCTGTAGTACCTCCCGTCTCAAATGCTGGTTAAGTTCATGACTGATATTGCCCGTGGGATGGAGTACCTCAGCCGCAAGAACTTCATTCACAGGGATCTTGCCGCTCGCAACTGCATGTAAGATAATCTCTGCTTCCGCTTTCTGCTTTCTCAGTTCCTGAATGTGTTATCAGTTGCTCTTTCTCTTTCTTGATGAATAGATTAAAAAGCACTGAATGTAGACAAAGAGACTGCGCTAATAGCAACTATGCTACTCTTGCATGGCCTATTAATTAGATAAACATTATATTTTTTTGTATAAAAGTTTAAATTTGTAGTCCTGTAGCTTTCAAATGAATGTAGTGGAATAACAAAATGTTTCAACCATGACCTGTCTGCCCTTTCATAAATGGAGCACTGTAACTCTTGTTTCTCTGTCTCAGGCTGAATGAGAACATGAATGTGTGTGTGGCAGACTTTGGCCTCTCCAAAAAGATCTACAACGGAGACTACTACAGGCAGGGCCGCATCTCCAAGATGCCGGTCAAGTGGATCGCTATCGAAAGCCTGGCTGACCGCGTCTATACCACCAAGAGTGACGTGGTTAGTTCATCTATCCTGTGTGTGTGTGCTTGTTTGACTGACAATGTGGGGACTACCTACTATCTGGGGACTGGTCCCCACAAGGTTCTCTATTTAGTTTATGTGTTTAAGGCTTAAGCTTATGGCTACAATTTAGCTTCAAGTGACACGTTATCCTTATAGCTACAAGTGTTTAGATCCTACTGGGCATAGGGATGGATAGCAGAGATGGAGATGATATTGAGAAGTATTTCGAGAAGTTTCTGAGGATGTTTTGTATAACATTGTAAAAAACAGTATCTATTTGAATAGTTCTCTGCCAAGGAAGAAAGTACTTTTAAATATTGAACAGTAACCATTCATGTCTAAGGGGCTGTAGTACAAAAAAAGATTTCAGGTAACTATTGGCTAAAGTTTATCAACATAGTACAGAGTTAGACATGCAGCTAATGCAAGACTAAACAATGTCCTCAGAAGTTACAAAAACAGTATTATTTGAAAAAAAACTGCTATCTGTTTAATTTTAAAATGTAATTGTACTCTTAAAAACTGATAACTAGCATTATTTCAATAGCTTCATGAAGACATAGCTCTGATGTTTCCATGTGAACAGTAACAGCTGATACTGCATGTATTCCTGAGGGGCCCGTTCGCGTTTCCATGCACATGTGAAAGTCTTCATGCTGCGTAAGCGCTAAAATGAATGTGCATTATTTTGTACTGTAAGTAAAAATAGGATTTCCATAAAGCCTAGAAAAACATGCATGTGTTATTTCTATAACCAGTGTTTGACCAGCGCAGATTGATGTTTGAGAAGTGTGCGTGGCAAGGCGTGTAAACCCTAAAGGAATTAAACTTCTTCACCCTTTGTTAATCCTTTCTATTTCCCATTTCTGTCTCCCTCAGTGGTCGTTTGGAGTTACCATGTGGGAGATCGCCACGAGAGGCCAGACTCCGTACCCTGGGGTGGAGAACAGTGAGATTTATGATTATTTGAGACAGGGAAACCGTCTCAAGCCGCCTCCAGATTGTCTGGACAACATGTGAGTGTGGACTACTTAACCTTCACATTCTTCATAAAGAACGTACTCAGCTGATGATATAGTATCTTGGAAATCTTTTACCTCCTGTTGAGGATTACATTTTTGCCATTAAGTCAGAACATGTTTCCTACAGATTATTAAACAGTTTAAGAATTTAAGTGAACCAAGATATAGAATTCCTAATACGAACAGCTTGTATTTTTTTTTATAGGATTTCTTATTTCATATTGAGAAGCAGTCTTTTGCTTTATTTTAAGTAAACACATTACCAAACAGGTTTAATAACTTCATAATGATGTGCTCGGAAATTCCCCCAAAATAAATGCAGTACTTGCATCTCATTTCTAATACTAAAAACAGGAACCATTTGAAAGATTTTTCAAGATCTACAGCAAGCAACAAATGCATTCAGGAGTAAAAATTTACGATTTTAAGAATAGTTATTCTAACTAATATACTGTTTGTGAGGAAAATAAATAATAATTTGTATTTGTATTCAATGAATGAATCCCACTATAATAAGTGCCAAATGAAGTTGTCCTGTCCTAGATATTCCCCTAGATAGGCCCTGTTCACTATAATGTTTTTCACAGTCTTCCACAATGTGCTAACATTAATGACATGTCCTCTCCTCCTCTCCAGCTACGCCCTGATGTTCTCCTGCTGGCTGCTGAGCCCCAAGGACCGGCCGTCCTTCGAGGCGCTGCGCTGTCAGCTGGAGAAAGCTCTGGAGGATCTGCCGGACACCCAGGATCCCGAGGAGATCCTGTACGTCAACATGGACGAGTCGTCCATGGAGCTCGGGGCCGTCGGTGGCCGTGACCCCATGGGGGGGCCGTCCCCTCTCTGCCTGAAGGGCCTGGACTCTGTGACCACGGTGGAGGTGCACCACCCCAACCGCTACGTCCTCTGTCCCCAACACGAGACCACCCGGCCCCTCTCTGAGTCCCTGGAGAGCCTGGACATGCCGGTGTCGTCTTCCACCGCCACGCTGCCTCTACAACCGTCCTGCCATTCCACCCCCAACCCAACCCCAGCGCCCACCCCGACTGTGGAGCTGCTGGAGGACAGGGAAGGCTCTAGAAAAATGCCATGGCAGTGATGGCGTCACCCATAAAAGTCTGGCCAAAGTGTGCCATCCTTAAACCCCAGTCCAAGAAGCAGATCCTCTTGCTACTGACTGCGAGAAACCTAAAGTGCCCCTAAGTAGATCTTTTTGCACAAACACACACAAAGCATTCCAAGGAAGTGAAGAATTGGGATTATTTCCTTTGTTAACCCTTACACTTCTGTTATGAGCACATTTCCAAGAGAGTGTGAAAAGTGTAGCCAGAGGAACACTGGGGGGTGATCTGGTTTAGAGCACGTGTCGTTGAACTCGTACACTGCAGCACAATCAGAGAAACCCAACTCCCCGTCGCTATAGCAATACAACTACCGGTACACAGCAGATCAATCTCCTTCACATGAAGCTCAATAATCTGATCGTGAAACCAGCTCAGACACTGCCAGCCTGAATCTACAACTAAACAAACTCAGGAGCTTGGACGCTAAAAAGCGCTAACGTGGAATCCCTGATAACTCTCAGCAAAAAGAAAACTGAGGACTAAAGAAAAAATTGACAAATGTCTGCCTACAAAAGGTTATTTTGAGATACATATTTCTTCTACTTTGAGCTGTGTTTTATAATGATGATAAGATGTTCTCTCCCCACAGAAACCCGACTGAAGTTAGAAGACCTTTGCCCTTAAGCTACAGAATATGAATGAAATTGAATTTTAAAAAAGACATTAAAAGAGACCATCATCTGCGAAGAAAATAACATTCCACTCGGGCTATAAGAGCTGGTTCGAATCCGGAATCTCCATTTCCGTCCAAATGTAGCGCTAATAATCCCTGACACTTTGCATTTAGCACCTTGAGCCATTTTCAGTTCACACAAGGCACCTCTTTCCTCTCTAACAACCTGTGAAAGTCCTGATTCAACTAGTCGATACATCTTCGTCATAACTCAGGAAGCGGAGACTTTGTAGGTACTGGTCCAATGAATAGGGTACAGATAATCCAGGGCAGATGGATGACTGAGGGTAGGTACGGACAGGATGGAGTTATCCAGGGCAAACGGTGGGATAAGCTCCTCCCCTTTGCTTTTGGCTCAAGCACAGTGTTATTACACATTTTGTAAAAAAAAGACAAATGTAATGCTGATTTTTGTATTTCTACGACTTTGCACTAATGTTGGTTTTTATATCCTTGTATGTTTGTTTATAGTTTGTATATCTTTTACGCTTTTTTGTATTTTGTGTTATTACTTTTCTCAAGTCATCTCGCATAAAATCTTTGCATATAAAGGCAGAGAACGAAGCCTGTGAAAGCATATCAGGGCGATTATTTTTCTGTAAATGTGCAAAAGACTGGGAAACATGACTAACCTCGTCGTCTGACATCTGACTCTCTCTTCCTGGGATATTTCCATTTCTCGAGGTTCAGCACTGTAAATAGAAGTGTGGTACCACACAGATACAAAGTGTGTATATCCAAACCTCTGCTTTGAGGTCCACTAGCTGCCACTTTGCATCATGCATGCACTTATCCTTTATATACGTTTATATATATTTGCTTTACTTCATGATTTTGTAATTGGAATGGACCATATTCCTACACACTTTTTCTGAGAATTGGCTGTGTTTCTCAGATGTTTACATCAAAGGTACTCAATTACAACACAGTATATAGTGTAGCATTACTGAAATCATTGTTTAAAGGTTCCATGTCATGCTTCTCCGGTTATTACCCGTCCCCTTGCGTGTTATGAAGGTTTTTCTGCATGTACACGGTCTGCAGAGTCACAAACCCTCAAAGTACACCCTGTAGGGAGTAAAACTCTAACACAGAGAAGACCTGTCTATGCTGCCCCAGAACGCCTCGTTGGAGATTTCTCTTTTTCCATTGTTTTCTTCCTGGGTAAAGTGACGTGTGAACACCCAAATCAACAACAAATGACCGGATTGGCCCAAATGGCCCAAATCCCTTGGCTAACTAACAGGGAGTCCCATTGACTTGCATCGAGCTCCCTGAACGCTGGTAATAGACGAGTTGGGATGGCGGAGAAATGCTCTCAGCAGACCCATTCTCACAGCGTTCTAAACCTTTTTCTTACTCAATATCAAGCCACACTTATTGTTTTTACTTCGGCTGTGAGTGTCTGTGTGCTCAGGATGAGTTTCGCTGTGTTTCGCTGTATCGCCGACCCAGAAACCTGTCCCCTCCTCGCAGCAGCGGCGAGCCTCTCAACGTCCCGACCAATCAGAGCACACTCGGCTCACAGGGAGGGGGGGGGGCAGGAGCTCCAACAAGCCGTTTAGGACAGAGAGTGAATACACATACTATACAGAGATGCTGTATGAGAAACCAATGTGAGTTTGGAAAATTGTACAGTATAAATATATTCTAGTAGACCTCAACAATGGAATTATGATCAGTAGAAATGGCCATGACATGGGACCTTTAAGACAAATGTAAAGTTCTCCTAAAGCTGCATTCACATGACACATGATTTGCTCTTTACTCAGCCACTAAAGTTTTGTTTCTATATTTATGTACCCTGCTAGTATGCGGCACCACATACAGCTTTCATTGAATTGGTTGCGTGTCAAAAGATTATCATTATATGTGGAAAAACTTAAAATAATTTGAACTTTTGAGCACCACTCTGCGACAATCGCGCGACGCCGAGGGTAGTGCTACTGCATTTCTCTCCATAGAAACACAACGTCAGCACAGCCGTATTACTGCTTTTCATGTGAATGCAGCTGAAGACATGTGGTACTGTATTCTCACTGAGGAGTCATACATTGTTTTTGAACGACAGAAAGTGACACTGGGGCACTCCTATCATTTGGTCTGTATAAATACTTCAATGTTGACTCATACTGCATTACATAAGCATTGTTTTTGAAACATTTTGGTCTTAAACTTTTCTTTGGGGAAAAAAACACTTAAATTCCTTCATGATTACAGTCTGGTCAGCCTTAAGTTTTTACCTTCAGTGCCTTCAGAGAGCCAGTGTTCTGCATTACAGTGAATGTCTGTTTGGATTATGATTCTCCTATAACAAATTGGGAGAAGACTGTACTTTAACTGCCTTTATCTTGTCACTATCATGATTTGTAAAGTTTTATATACCTACCTACAGTATTTTGTACAAGAAATAAACATGTTTATCATGAATCAGCCCTGAGCTTTTATATGTTCAATATTAAAGGGGCCCTATTATGCTCATTTTCAGGTCCATATTTGTAGTTTGTGACTCTCCTGTGACATGTTCAAAAGCCCTTTCATTTTCCTCATACTGCCTGTGCTGCAGCACCTCTTTTCACCCTCAGTCTGAAACCAGAGCGCAGTCTGCTCTGATTGGTTATCTGTTCCGGCCCTTAGCCTATCACAAACAATGTGTTGGAGCACAAGTGTTACACAGTAAGGCCACTTTCGCAGGGAAGTAAACAACGTAGTCCAATGCAGGCGTTTCAGGGGGAGTGTGTGGGAGAGAAACTCCCTCTGGAGGGAACACAGGGATTTTAGCCTTTGTAGACCATTTACATGCACAAAAACCTATAGAACACACTCCAGGAAGGTAAAACCCCAAAAAGCAGAATAGGGCCCCTTTAATCCTATTAAAGAGTATTTTTTGTTTATTTACTCAACAATACAGCAGATGTTGAGGTTGTCTGGTTTATTATCGAAAAGCAAGAAACTGCTAATAGGGTAGACATGTCTGAAAGATCAGCTAACAGCTGAAAAACACTTGAAATGTTTGAATAATGTTCAGAAAGTATAGTATATCTAATAAGGGTGTTTTTCCTCAGAAGTGGATGTAGGAGATCTGCACGTCGCCATCTATCTCCAGCATGTCCACCTCATTGAAGGACTGCAGGCGGTGGACAAAGTCGAACAAGTGCTGCCCGTTCACAAACACTTTGAACCTCTGGTTCCCGCAGCGGATCGACATCTGAGACACAGAGGCAGAAAATTAAGCGGATTATAGGCCTGCAACAATTATTTTATATTATCAGGTAATTGTTTTGGCTATACAATATCATAAAAATAATTTAAAACGTCCAATGTGGTTAATCAAAGTCCACTTTTAAATGTCTTGTTTTGTCAGCCCAAAACCCAAAATGATTCACTTTAATGTGATACAACATTGAACAGAAAAGACTAGTGGAAAGAAGTCCTATTTGAGAGGCTGTAAACAGCATTTTCTTCAATATCAAATCAAATCATATATATCAAATATCACAAAACTTAAAAAATGGTTTTCTTTCCATGGACTAAACGATTAGTCAAAGTACCCAGTAGTTTGACTAATCAAACTGCAGGGTACTGGATTGCAGCTATCCAATATGAAATACATTTAGAACTAAATATGAGGTCAGTGTGACAGATTCTACTTACATCAAAGTACTGTCCCTCCATGAAGGGGTTCATGTTCATCTCTCTTTCCTCCTGGCCCCAGGTCCCTCCGATCATGCTGTTCCTCACCACGACCCCCTCCCTCACCCGGGGGTTCATGTGGAAGGCAATGTCCCGAGATCTGCTCACCAGGAAGTTGATCCACAATCTGCAACACACAGAAACCAGCGTGATCGATGTCTGTTTGCACTCACACTCTAATGACGTTAGTGTGTATAATCACTAATAACACACTTGTCGGCTCCATAGGGCAACATCCCTCTGATGATGATGGTCCTCTTAGGGTACATGCCTCCTGGGATCATGTTAGAGTACGGTATGGGCTAAAAACACAAAGCAAAAACTCAATTAGACAGGTAATATCCAAACAAGAGTGAAATTCCACAGCAACACTGGTGGCCCTGTGAGGCCGGATTCTTATAGGAGACAGTTCTATGGGTCTAAAAATAAGTCAAGCCTGGTAAAGTGTTTATCTGTGCACTGATCATTTTAGGACACTTAACCCTCCTGTTGTGTTCGGGTCAAATCTGACCGATGTACTACTTTCATCAATCATAACTGTTTTGTTTCCCATTCGATTGCATTAAGGCTTTATGATATCCTTCACAGTAGACATTTGAACATATATTAAATTGCTGATCACCACTTTCATTGAATTCTGGATGATTTAGTCAACTTTGTAACACCATGGCGTTCCCGGTCAAACATGACCGCCATAAAGAAAAGGAATTAGTAACCATCCGGATCAGATAAAACACACACACACACACACACACACACACCCCCCCCCCACACACACACACACACACACACACACACACGCACACACACACACACACACACACACACTAGATGTGTTCCCCCCCTTATGTGCCCAATCCCCCCATGTGAATCACACCTGGCACACACAAACACACACACACACACACACACACACACACACACACACACACACACACACACACACACACACACACACACACACACACACACACACACCACACACACACACACACACACACACACACACACACACACACACACACACACACACACACACACACACACACACACACACACACACACACACACACACACACACAGAACAATTTGACACATCTCCCACTCTTATGTGCCCATCCCCCCACATGGATCATACCTGGCACATACAATACATGTTCAGTGTCTGTTCTTTGTATATTTACTGCAGTTTCTCATGTATACCAGTATCTGATACAATATGTACAGTTTGAAAGGGTGTTCAATGACATTTGGTGCTGATTAATGGCTTTTGTGTTAATGTAATAGCAGTTTAAACAGGACCGGTCAAATTTGACCGCGAACACCAAAGTGAGGGGGGGGGGGGAACACGAAGTCAATAGGAGGGTTAACTTGCCAGGCTAAGTTTTACAATGTTATACTAAGCTCAGCCTTCAAATGCATTTAAACGGAACAAATAACTTCACAGCTTTGAGCAGAATGCCACAGGGGACATCTGTAGTTACGACAGTGAAATGAAAAATGAATTTGCTTAACTTGAATGAGTTCATTGTTTTGCCATGCTAGGTCAAATAGCAGAGCTTCAGGTAATTCACTGTAGTGTCAGTGTTGGTGTGCAATGAGGTCTGATTGACTTGACACATGTAATGCATTCTGTTCTGTTGACACAAGCAGGGGCGCCGCCAGGGATTTTGGGCCCCATGAAAAGATATCACATTGGTTACGTACAATTTTTTTTCTTAATGTTCTAAAATTGTTTGGGCCCCTGTCAGTCACGGGCCCTCAGAATCATCCTAACTTTTCACCCCCTTACGGCGCCCCTGGCCACAAGAGGGCAATTATTGCATGTTTTAAAATAGAAGTTGAAAAAAGTTGTTTGAAAGACCATTGTTTAAAGGTAGCCCAGGGGCGGATCTACGGGGGGGCAAGGGGGGGGCAGCTGCCCCCCCAATGTAGAGCCTTGCCCCCCCAG